GACTGATAATAACAGTAATTTATAAAGGATTAGTGAAGCATTTATTTTGATGCCAGCAATAATTTTGAAAAAGCAAACAACATTTTAAAACCTTTTAGTAAAGCTCTTGAATTTCTGTTTGTGTGATTTTAACATTTAATTAAGATAAACTTGTTCAACATATGCTTCCATTATTCAACTATGTGAAAAATGAGGAAACAAGTTTTACAGTCAGACTTTGTGTTTACCTGGCTTGTTGAAGATAACTTGAACTCACTGAGTAACAGGTAGAGATGACTGTGTGCATAATACATGTGCACCTACCTTCCTCCATTGTATTTACAGTATATCAGCTGTTGCTGCTGGGGATCAAGCAGCTGTAAAAAGAAAGAAAAAATAAAGAACAAATGACAACATAAGACATCAGAACAGTATGTTGTCTATGAAGATTCTCAGTCATCCAGGTCATAGTTATCCAACGAAGGTTAAAGTCAAGGGCAACTGGACTTGGTTGAAGATACTGGAAGACGTTTCGTCCCTCATCCAAAGGACTTCTTCAGTTCTGACTGACCTGCAGGGAAACTCAGCTATTTAATCTCAGTGGGGTCGTTTGCCAGGGTCATCGATACTGCTGGTTCGTTAGTGTTCCTTGTTGCTGTGACGACAGTTGTTACAGTCATTAGGACTACCAGAGGCCAAGACTGAACGACCATCGTTGGTATCTTCACCTGAGGTCAATAGGTTACGTTAGTTGAGTTTCCTGGGAAGTGATGAAAGGACAGCATTGTAAGTGGGGGATAAGTGGTGGCGTAGACCCCCTCCCCTGTTCAATGACGGCTTCTCGACCCGGGTGTAGATGGCTTCCTTGACACCTCTTTCAAACCATCTTCTCTGTCTAAAATGTGCACCTGGTGGTCCTCAAACGAGTGTCCTCTGTCCTTCAGATGTAAGTAGACTGCAGAGTCTTGACCTGAGGAGTTGGCCCTTCTGTGTTGAGCCATGCATTTGTGTAGTGGTTGTTTAGTCTCCCCAATATACAGGTCTGTGCATTCCTCACTGCATTGGACCGCATACACTAGATTGCTTTTCTTGTGTTTGGGTGCGCGGTCTTTGGGGTGGACCGGTATCTGTCTTATATAATAAAAAATTTGATTTTAATAAAACAGAACATAAGATTTTCTATGGCCAGATCCCAGATTCAACCAGCATCTATTGCTTGAAAGATGTGTCCTTGCTCACTTTCTGGATCTGTGCAAACAAAGAAATTCAGTGAAATCAACGACTCCAACGATGGTGCTAGAATAAATATTGAGGGATCACCAAAACACAAAAATGACTTTAAAATTACAGAATGATGTTTATGTTACATGTTATCATGGTTTCAGGTATCTCAAATCTCATATCTCTTTGTTTTGCAGGGCACCTACCCCCCTCTGTGGTATTTACACCAGATGCACAAGCTGATGATCCTGCAGCTGCAACACATTTAATGACACTCCAAAGTGGGATAACATTAAAACTGCACACAAACGTTTGCCCTTAATAAATAAATCAAACTTTGGTACCCAGGTACTACCTTACGGAGCTCTGTTTTGCTCACAGACTAAGATGTGTAAGATTCTTCTATAAACATTGAAGAGTATGCTCAATGACTGGCTACATCAGTACATACATTGACCCTAGCACCAACCATACAGGTCAGAACATATCCAAACCAGAAGAACATTCAGGCACGATACATGCTGCATGCTAGCTCTCTTGTGTTTAGATCAGGCTTTGAGGTGGAGTACATACTGCAGAAAACAATCAAAGAGACAAAACAACAATATAAAGAGAAGCTGGAAGGCTACTATTCCACTGCTGATGCCAGGTGCATGTGGCAAGACCTGCAACAGATCATGGACTATAAGGGCACCATCATTTCCTACCTGAACAGCTTAAATTCTATTCCTGCTTCGAGACCTCCAACAGTGAAACAGAGAGGAGGCTCTCACACACAGAACATGCAAGAACCTCCAATTTCTGACTCAAATGTCTCATCAGCTGATGTCTCTTGTACAGGCCACAGTTCCGACATACTTTAAAACCAACACCATCATCCCAGTCCAGTCTGAATGACGTACAGGCCCAGTTGCACTGACTCCAATCATAATGAAGTGCTTTGAGACAGTGGTTCAAGACCTAACAAAATGACATATAGCATCAGACAGTAAGACGTCACAGACGTGAAGTGTTGTCTCACACATTGGTCTATCTATTTATCTATCCGTCAGTCTGTCTGTCTATCACAGGTACATGCGATCATTTACTGATTTTCTCTGATGCCTTAATTATTTTAAAGGTTCACTGTCTAAGATTTAGAGGCATCTAGTGGTGATGGTTGTGAATTGCAACCAGTCTACATAGAGTCTACCAATGCCCCCTAACCTTTCAAAGAACGTAGGACAGCTACGGTGTCTGACACAGCACAAAAGGTGTCTCTTCTGAGACAGCAGAGAGTGGCCAGTCAAGAAGTGAGGTTTCAGGTATATTTATTAAGAAATTATATTTCATTAATCCCTTAACACCTGAATTTTTTTACAATCAAAAAATAAAAAAAATTATTTGTGTTTTCATTTGCTTTCAAGCTGATGTTAAATTAAGTGAAGATTGTTAATTTGTCTATAGAACATAGAAAATATATAAATTCTTGTATGTGTAGGTATGATGCAAATTAGCGACAATAGGCATAAATGAGAAACCAGGGCTTGCAAAAGGTTGCTAGGTTCGTATCAAATATGCACCAACAGGCATTGGGGGAATCCATGTGCTATCTTGGCTTGCAGTCTGCAAGGAAGAGGTATGATGCAAATTCGTGACAATCGGCGTCAAGGGTTTTAATTATTCAGGAAAATCATATGTTATTGTGACTTGGCCACTGACAGACAACATGGAAAATGTAAGCCAAGAGTGTTAAACATTGTCACTGTTTCTGCACCACAGTCCATTATAAACCACACATTAGATAAAGTTTATACAATAGTGGCAAGGAAAACACATTCATTCTCTTTGTGATTATGGACCATCGCCAAAACTGCCCGCCATCAATATCTGGTCCACTGCCAGATCATGGTGCTTTGATAGCAGCAAAACAAAATAAAAGCGTGACTGCAATCTTGTATTTTACTCTTTTACTTTGAAAAATTCTGAAGGACATTCAGTCTGTAGCTGCTTGACACACCTCTGAAAGAGCAGTCAGAAAACGTGATTCCCCTGAACGTCCACTGCCTGAATGCAAAAGCTTCTGTAGATTGATGGATGTGGATCAAACACCGAAACAAAAACAGTGCAGCGCATGCCGTGATCTGAGAAACGTTCGCTGCAGAATCCATTTGTTGAAGAGAGAGAGAGAAAAAAAAAATTGTACAAAACCTCAAACCTTGGGTTACAAGTCCTCCACCTTATCAACAGAGTTAACCAAACAACACATTGATGCAAGTTAATATTATAGCTTATATTCTCTTCCACCATTTAATGGTTGAAACTTTTGTTCCAATTCAAAACTTATTTGCAGACCCCTGCAGTATATTATTACTACTTCTTCTTCTAACGTACGTATTCAACACAGTGATGAGTGTCTACACTGCCTGAATTCTACCAGAAGCAGAAGAACGTAGTGACGAAACGCGCTCTGTAGCGCTGTTTGTCCGATTTCAGCTACTGTAGAAACATGACAATGCATGGAAGGGGGTGCCCGCGGTTATGCAGATATAAATGGCTCATTCTAAGGTAATAAAAACATAATAGTTTATTATGTAAGGTCTTTACACACCACTGAAAACATGGTTATGGATCTTATATTGCATTTCTGTCGATAGATCCTCAGAAAAGTTACACACTGAACCTTTAAAAGTGTAATGAGACAGAAATCCACACAATTTTTAACCTTAAAGTCATCTACCTGAGTTATGATTGTGTTTACATCTGTATTTCAAATCAGCTCATAACATCAGTAACCATCCAATAACTGATTTATAGTTTAAGCAAAACATTTCTAGGAGAAATGGTTGCAGTTCCAGTTACCTTTGGATTCTGAGCTGGTGTCTAGCAATGTCTGCACCAGATCATTCCTGTTTATTGTCCTGAAAACCTTCTTGGTCACCTCCACAGACTGTTGGTTGTAGGTCTGCAGCATCAGATCCACCAGATCTAACATGTCTGCATTCTCCAGTCGGCTGCTTGGGATGCATGGGAGGCCTGCCAGGATGTCACCGTCCTTCAGGAACCACTTGAATTGCTTGAATTCTTCCAATTTTAAATGTTCCAGCATTTTCAAAAGCCTCTCTCTATCCTTTGTGACTTTTGCTGCCTGATGAATTTACAGCAAACAAACAAGAGATGTGATTTGAGTATAACTTAATTGATGGATTGAATATTATAGTTTGAGTTTGGTTTTCATCACCGTTTAAAGTACTGGGTGATTTCCAACCTGCATCTTATTGAATGAAAGCTGTGCTGTGTAGAGTCAGAGTGATGTGACATTACTCACTTGCAGTGGAGACAGGTGTTCATCCATAGAGTGTTGCTCTATGGTGAAAAGAAATAAAAAAAACAGTGGCTGATTTAACATCTGATTTTAAACATTTAGTGTCAGTCTTATTGATTCATAAAGATTTACATAGTTTTTTTTGACTAAATGACCAACAAAGCAAATGCAATCTTGAATCTATCACTCTACTTACTGTGATAAAATGATCAAATAAAGTTGATCAAGTGCAGATACTCTCTGACTGTAATGAGCTGTGATTTAATCTGATCTTAGCCTGCTAGTGTTGTATGTTGTAATACAGCATACAGTGGCAGCATTTGGCTCATATATGGAAGTGAAGTGTGTGTGTGAATGTGAAAATATTATTTGGCTACATAGATTCGCTAAACTCCAAAAACTCTCATTGGCAAAGAACAAAACTTTCAGCTAGCAGGTTGCAGCTCATATCCGCGGTTGCTAATTAACGTTAAGGCTGTGAGTAACTTGATAAAAGGCCAGAATTAAACATGTTGGGTTTGTGTTCTCTTTCCAGTCTGTGCTGGTACTCAGACAAAAATACAGAGGCACAGCAAATAGTTTTCTTCAATGATTAGAGATATAGGCTTCGTCTCACAGAGACTCTTGCTTCATTTAACTTGTCCTCTACTTGCTCTTTCTGGTTTTGAAGACACATTTTTTAGTCGCCTCATTGCCTGCCTATATTTGAACCACTCAATAGATAAGTGTTTGAAAGGTCTACATCATCATTGTCATTTCACATGAGCTTCTAAAGTGAACTCTTAAAGAATACTTTTAGTATTTTAGTAAGTAGAAAGCAGCACAGATATTGGAAAACATTTCATTCAAAAAGAATTGTTTGGATTTTTTTTTTAGCGCATTACGTGATTGGGAAGATTGTCAAGCAAAGCCAATTCAAAGAGTCTGAGAGGCCAAAAGCAATCCAACATTTGATTTCCTGAACTAAGCAAATCTGAAGCCTTGTGTCATTGTGTAACTTGATATGCAATGTATTTGACATTGCAGTGAATTGCAAAGTAAAACTGAAAAAATATTTACACCACAAATACCTGTTGAGCTTAAAGAGGTCATATTATGCTTTTTGGCTTTTTTCCCCTCTCCTTTATTGAGTTATATATCTTTTTTGTGCATGGATTAGGTTTGCAAAGGGAAAAGTCCAGCCCAAAGGAAAACTCTGCTCTGTACTGCCCTTCAAACAGCTCGTTTGTAGTCCAGCCCTTTCCCTTTCATCCCTATGATGACACAGCAAAATGCTCGTCATAATGCTCGCCAAGTGGCTAGTTCAACACACCCTCAGAAACACTGTCATTTGGGAAAAGCTTTTTTGACAATAAATATTAGTTTAGCTTAAAATATTGTTGCTGTAAATTCAGAGGTTATGGTCTCTTTGATCATTTGCCATGACAATGTGCAGATAGTGGAAATGCAGGTGGGATCATCCAGTGAGTTTACATGCATTTAAGTAGCAAGGTTACTCAGCATTTAAAGGCAAAGGATTTCAGTAATCAGATTTTCCCTACCAACCTTATTTTGGGAGCATGGCTTACTGAATGTACACTCACCTAAAGGATTATTAGAAACACCTGTTCAATTTCTCATTAATGCAATTATCTAATCAACCAATCACATGGCAGTTGCTTCAATGCATTTAGGGGTGTGGTCCTGGTCAAGACAATCTCCTGAACTCCAAACTGAATGTCAGAATGGGAAAGAAAGGTGATTTAAGCAATTTTGAGCGTGGCATGGTTGTTGGTGCCAGACGGGCCGAGTATTTCACAATCTGCTCAGTTACTGGGATTTTCACGCACAACCATTTCTAGGGTTTACAAAGAATGGTGTGAAAAGGGAAAAACATCCAGTATGCGGCAGTCCTGTGGGCGAAAATGCCTTGTTGATGCTAGAGGTCAGAGGAGAATGGGCCGACTGATTCAAGCTGATAGAAGAGCAACTTTGACTGAAATAACCACTCGTTACAACCGAGGTATGCAGCAAAGCATTTGTGAAGCCACAACACGCACAACCTTGAGGTGGATGGGCTACAACAGCAGAAGACCCCACCGGGTACCACTCATCTCCACTACAAATAGGAAAAAGAGGCTACAATTTGCAAGAGCTCACCAAAATTGGACAGTTGAAGACTGGAAAAATGTTGCTTGGTCTGATGAGTCTCGATTTCTGTTGAGACATTCAGATGGTCAGAGTCAGAATTTGGCGTAAACAGAATGAGAACATGGATCCATCATGCCTTGTTACCACTGTGCAGGCTGGTGGTGGTGGTGTAATGGTGTGGGGGATGTTTTCTTGGCACACTTTAGTGCCAATTGGGCATCGTTTAAATGCCACGGCCTACCTGAGCAGTGTTTCTGACCATGTCCATCCCTTTATGGCCACCATGTACCCATCCTCTGATGGCTACTTCCAGCAGGATAATGCACCATGTCACAAAGCTCGAATCATTTCAAATTGGTTTCTTGAACATGACAATGAGTTCACTGTACTAAAATGGCCCCCACAGTTACCAGATCTCAACCCAATAGAGCATCTTTGGGATGTGGTGGAATGGGAGCTTCGTGCCCTGGATGTGCATCCCACAAATCTCCATCAACTGCAAGATGCTATCCTATCAATATGGGCCAACATTTCTAAAGAATGCTTTCAGCACCTTGTTGAATCAATGCCACGTAGAATTAAGGTAGTTTTGAAGGCGAAAGGGGGTCAAACACAGTATTAGTATGGTGTTCCTAATAATCCTTTAGGTGAGTGTACTGTTGGTGTAGCTATACTGTTGGTCAGACCGACAGAACGTAAGTTTTTCACACTCTGACAAAAAATTTTTTCTAAATTCAAACGATTTGAAATGTCTTACCTTGCATATTAACCATGCTTTGATATTCACCTGGGAAAAAAGTGCAGAGATAAAGAAAACATGAATATTTTGCTGCTGCCTTTATCAAACAGAAGATGATGCTACATCTGCTTAATGATGCATATTCAACAGAATATGGTACAGTGTAGCTAAATTCTTGTCATATTATCTTAAAATAACCTTTTCGAATTTCATGGGTCCACACTGGTTGACGGTCATTTTTTTGTGTGAGGTTGAGCGTGAAGTTTCTGTCTGGATTTTCAATGTAAACTTCAAAGAAATTTGGGCCTCTGCTTTCACATCTGAGCTTTAAGTCCTGTGAAACAAAATTAAAAAATAAATAAATAAAAAGTAAATGGACTTTGTGATAGAGTACACCAGAATTTCTTTTTCTTTATTTTGCATGTTTTCAAAAAAGGTTAAAAAAAATTGGGGTGGGCCAGAGATGGAACAGCGAAGGATCCAAAGCCTGCATATGAGGTTCTATGTAGGCCCAAAAATGACGTCAAAACCCTGAGACATCCAGTCGCACACGACAGATGTAACCGTATTGTTTAGATTACAAACTCCGTGTGAGTTTAAAAGCCATCAGTGATGCTGCATTGGTCTTGTAGGTGGGCCCACTGAGCCAAGAAACTATTTGTTGGCGCAGCTATGTAGCTACCAGAATTTGATGTTTCTGCCGTTGCTCTACGTCATTAAACCATGCTTATGCTGCGCAACCATGAGCAGAAGACAGTGGTGCCAACAGGAAGTAGCCATGTAGTAGCATTTCATAGGACCAAAACTGGCTTCATTACTCTCCATTCAAACCTGCGGGGTAGCCAGTAATATAGACTACTGTCTATAGGCAAAATAAACAAACAACTAGACAGGCCTCATGACAAATATGCCTGCTGTATCTTAAAATGTTTGTCTCAAATGGATGATCACATATATCGGGTTAGCGAGTTATGACTTCAGATGAAGTACATTTTATTGTCATGGAGACATCACAAATTTCTCATCTTGTTAGCTCAAGATAATAAATACTGCTCATATTATTTAGAGATTATTTACAGATATTTGTATGTTAACATGCTATCTCTCCCCTAAAAATTGGATAATGAAATAATAATTATTAGAGAAAAGCCCTAAAGTAAGAGTTTTTCCTGCTGATTTTACGTTTCAAGCACAAGTCTCTCTTGATTTAAAGTAAAGGTTTTAAACACTCTACAGTATCATAAATAGGTTACAATTTTTCTGCCTTTTTACTGATATTGTGCTTTTCACTTTAATTTGGGCAGCACTTCCAGTTGTTTTTAAGCATGCTATACAAACCTCAAAAACCAGACGTTTTGAGATCCATCTAATCCAAACACACATGCTTAAATGAAACAAGAAACTGCAGTTGTTGGTATCATTTCAGATTTTTAAAAACATTTATAAAAATAAAACTGAAATGGAGGCAAGTTGAACAGAAATTATCCTTAAAGTCGGAAAGGGTGTTGATCTCTGAGATTTCATCACTACAGTAGCTGGAGAAAGAAACAAGCCTATAGTGCCACACAGCTTGTGTATGGGTGAGTGGAGAGAGGTTTATACAAGACTTCAAGCCTGACAAATATTTTAGAAAAATAGTATGCCTTTAACTGTACTGTTATAGATTGGCCTAAGACCTTTGTGTGAGACTATAGTATAGTACATTACCAAAACAAGTAGGTAAAGTTAGATCATTTTGTCATGTTTTCTTGTTTAAAATATCCAAAACCAGAGAAACTGTTGTTCGACCATACTCATCTTCTAGTGTCTTTCTAACGTCTGAACCACAGTTCATTCCATAAATTTCAGTAGTCCAAACCGTACTTTAGGAGAAACTTTTGCACCATTCACATCTGCCTTTAAGATGAAACGATCACGCATTTTCAGGGACTTCTCTGGATGTGGCTTTCTGATTACTTTGTATCCATAAGATACATTCCTGTTGTCCATTGCCTTAAAAAAAAAAAAAAAAACACGGTTACATTGGCCAACATTTTTTGTGTGTTGTGTATTTTCTGTGGTGTCTGTATCTTATTCTGATTGGTATTGGTAAAAGTAAGATATTCAGTAACCTCTTGTAGACCAGGATCACGTGGGATCAGATAAACATGCAGTGTCAGGAATGCTGTGTTGGTCTGATATATTAACACATTACAGTTTATTTTCACTGGAATGCCAGCTTTCATCAAGACTGCTCTTGGTGAAAAAACTGGTTCAGACAGCTTGACATGGGACGACGTGACCTCAGACACTTTTTCCACAACATCTCCACAGTCATCTATGTGTAGGACTGCAAACTTGTCAGATATTTTAGGGACATCATCTGCACAAAATACAAGAACACACAATTAGTCAGGAGGAAGGAATTGTGTCAGTTTTTTGTGCACTTTACAAAGAATTTTGTACATTTCTTCATGTCCACTTACCAATGCAGATCCAGTGTGGCAGGTACACATCATCAAACCTTCCAGCAATGACTGTGATGTCCATTAGGGGACCTGCAGGTATGTATTTGATGTTTTCCATCCTCTCCATTGGTTCGTCCCAAGAGCAAAACTGGTACCTAAAGCTGACCTTTTCCTTACAGGCCCAGCGCAAGCCAGAGAACTGCATTCAAAGTGGTTTCCTGCTTCAGACTGTAGGCTAAGAAGTGAAGAACAAAACTAGTGAGTTTGTGTATATGTACAAAAATACTGTATTAGGGGCACAACGGAATAAATATATTTTTCCAAGAAATAAGGGTAACTGTTTCCTCTAGTTCCAGTTTGCTGTGTTGAGTTTTTTGGATATTTTGGTTAGTTTTACCTGTAAGTTGGAGTCTCATCTGCACCTGTACTGTTCATTTTAGGGTCAAGTTTAGTCCAGTCACTGGAGTCCAGCTGCAGAGGACAATCATTTAAAATAGAAAAGTCTCTTTTTGCATCATCCTAATTGAATAAGTAAATAACAAATAACTGAACTGAATAAATTAATGAATGTAAGTGATTACCACAGTGCTTCCACAAGCCTCAAGCTCCAAGCTTCTTGAAGGCCCTTGTGAAGACACGTTGGATTTTTTTAAAATTATGTTATGACATGAAAATTATTCCAAGTAAAAACAAGCATTCAACAATCAGCAGGCATATGTAAATGTGTAGGCATGTGTATATGTGGGTGTGCATGTATGTGTGTGTAACAACAGAAGTTCAGAGTGAGGGAAGTGGCGAACATGACCACGTCGGTGGTTCATCAGCCGCTGATTCAAAATGGTGGATCGATCCGTGAAGCTTAAGAAAGGGGTTGAGACACCCAAATGGCGTGGAGCACAGTTTGAGTTAGACTACAGCTGTGGATTACAGATATGTGTGTATTCCGATGTTTGTGTAGTGTGTGAGTGTGTAAATGTGGAGGTCAGTATAGAAAAGGAGAGAAAAAAAATGGAAAAGGGGCGCATAAAGAAAGGGCTATAAGATCCTGGTTACCATGGTTACGTACAATGTAACACACTATCACACAGCACATGCAGTGAAATCGCATTCAATCAGCAGGTACAGGCATAATCTTGAAAGGGTGTTGCTTTTGTCTCCACAGATGCAAAAACACAAATCCTAACTACTGAGGTGAAACACAATAACTACCACTTTATCGCACGGGAACCAGCGGTGACCTTTCATTCGACAGTCGTGTTCTTGGACTTCAGTCACAGCTATTGGCCTCACCCACAATGTCAGGAATAAACCTAACTAACAGAGGCAACGAGAATTAGCCAATCAGAGGCAGAGTTGTCCATAGAGCCACGAGCACGCTAAACCACTGATAGAGTGACTGATGTCATTAGTCAGCATATAGGATATATGCTTCTAGATAAAATAACATTTAAAACAAACACACATTCAGATTGGTGCCTGACTGTCCATATGTAAGAGTAACATTAAAGAAAAATAATAAAGACCACACTCTGTATACCAAATTTTTGATATTCAAATAATAATAATGTAGTTTTTTTCACAACTTACCTTTAGATCCTGAGCTGATGTCTGACAACTTCTGCGCCAGATCAGTCCTGCTCATCTTCTTTAAAACCTCCCTGGTCACCTCCACTGACTGTTGGCCGTAGATCTCCACCATCAGCTCCACTGTTTCAACTCTGTCTGCCATCTCCATTCTGTGTCTTGGGATTCTTGGGAGGCCTTCCTTGATGTTAGTGTACTGCAGGACACGACTGAATTTCTTGAGATCCCTGTCACTTAAATATTCCAGTGTTTCCAAAAGCTTCTCCTGAAGTGATGTCATGGTTACTTCCTGATGGATTAGGAGTGATCAGAGGGCATTAAGTAAATGTTTTCAACCTGCATCTATTGAATGAAAGCTGTGATGTGTCAGACTCACTCTCTTGAACAGCGCAGGTTGATGTTCATCCTCTGAGGATAAAAGAAATAAAAACTGAGGTTTATTTTTGTGTTTCTCTGTGGATTTGTGGTTTTGTGTTTGTATTTTGGTGTGTGTGTGTGTGAGTGGACGTTCCCAAGGCCCGGAGGCAGTCCCCAGGTTTGTCGGAGTCGCAGCTGTTCTGTATCGGCTCATTACGTGTACTACAAGACCTGCTGCTTTCCTGCTCCTCGTCGCCAGATTATTCCTAACCATTTCACATTCGTTTCGAGTTTCCTGCTGAGAGGTTGCCAGCCGACGGAGGAGTTACCTGTTCACTTCGCACTGCCTGTGGATCGGCTTTTTCTGTCTGGAAAACTCACCAACGCTGCCTGCCTCGCCTCTGCTCAGAAGTACTTTTTGTTGCTTAATAAAACTATGTGAACTTTCCTCTGCTTCTGGTCGTGTTTGTGTCCGCACTTGGGTTCAGCCTTAAGCGAAACGCAACAATTTTCTTATTACACGTAATATAATAGAGTATAATCGACTTTTCAAAGGCTCAGTTACTACAAAAAGAAATAAAATGAAACAAATTCACTGCAAAATGATTATTAACACCATCACAATTTAAAGCATTCAAATCCAACAGCCCAGAAACTAAATTACTAAACTTATTAAACTTCTATCATTCAGTTTATGTTGTGTAAGAGTTGTTGATTTAATTCATTATTTCATATATATAATCTATTGATCCCTGCCCCGTGTTTTACATTTCTTATCGGTGATGATGACAGAGTTAGCACTTAAAGCAGATTTACTTTTATTTATTATGAATTAAAATTGTATGAGTGTATTATGTAATATGACAGTTGTCTTTATTGTCTTACCTTTGAGTCTTGACCACTTGGGGTTGGACCACTTCATCATCATTTCATCCATGGCCATCATTGTTAAAAACTCCCTGGTCACCTCCACAGACTGTTGGCCGTAGATCTCCACCATCAGCTCCACTATTTCATCTCTGTCTGCCATCTCTATCTGGTGTCTTGGGATTCCTGGGAGACCTTCCTTCGTGTGTTTGTGCTGCAGAAACAACTTGAATTGCTCGAGCTCCCCATAACTTAAATCTTTCAGTGTTTCCAAAAGCTTCTTCTGAAGTGATGTCATGGTCGCTTCCTGATGGATTCAAAGTGATCAGAGGGCATTTATGTCATTTCTCCACTATAGTGATGAAACAATAATTTCATGATTTCTATGTCATGAGAGAATTGTAAGAACTAATATAACCATCACAACACAGTATGATTCATTTGATTTATTTCTTTAAACTGGTTATTAGTAATTGTGCTGTCTTGACTGTCTCTAACTCTCTTTGCCACCAAAAGCAGCAATAAGCCACTTGATCACATTTCCTTATCACTTCTACAGCAGCTGTGGTTCTGGTTTAAAAACGTCTTCACTTTTAACCTGTAACTACTAAATGAAAGCTGTGTAAAGTGTGTCTGATGTAACACTACTCACTTTCTGAAACCATGCAGACTGGAAATCCACTGAGGAGAAAGAAAACAGAAAATGACTCATTACTGATTCAAAATGAGAACATAAACAACTTTTATCAGATTTAGTTGCTTTAGTTGCGATTTCTGCAGTCAAAGTAAGCCTGCCCCCTACTTTTGTCATATTTCTCATTGGCAACTAGAGTTAGAGCCAAATCAGATTAACTGTGTTATTATGAATTATAAAATTTATTACACATTTATGAAACATATGATTATGTGAAGTGGCAGTTTTTGTCTTCTATCTCTGACCTTTGGATCTTGAGCTGGTCTCTGACAACCTGTCTACCAGATCAGTCCTGTTTATGTCCATTAAAACCTCCTTGGTCACTTCCACGGTCCGCTCGCCACAGGTCTGCACCATTAGATGCACTAGTTCATCTTCACTTTTTACACAGTTCAATTGACTTAATGAGATTTGTGGTAAACTCTTTTGGAAGTACGTGAACTGGAGCAACCGCATGAACTTCTCGAGCTCCCTGTGACTTAAATCCTTCAGTGTTTCCAAAAGAAACTGTTCAACAGCTGCCTGAAAAAAAAAAAGGATCCGTTAAGCAAATGTGTAATTTCTCGATGTGTATAGTTAAAGATTTTTTCTTTGTATTTAATCTGGGTTTTAGACAGAGTATAGATGTTGGTTTGATGCTGGTTTAATATTAAAATTTTTGCCAGATTTTGTTTTATTTGTTCCCAAATTCTGTGTTTTCTGTTTAAATTTTTTGGAATTCTGTGTTTTACTATTAAAGCACATTTTGTCATAAGACATACTGTGTAATGATGTGGTGGATGACTGAAATTTCAAAAGGAAAATTAGGACTGACAACTAATAGTCGAAGATTCGATGCTTTGATGGGCGGAGCCTGATTCGACTGTCAATCTCACAGTCGAAGCTTCGCAGTGAAACAAAGATCGTGCCATTTTGGCGATATGGGGATGCTCAACGTCTGATTTTACATAGAACTACCAGTTTTCTCCCAAAAAGTTAATCTACAGTCTGTTCCAATACACATTTCAACGTTTAATGCTGTAAATAAACATGTAAAAAGAAAAAAACTTTCAATAAATGTTTTTAAAGTGCGTGAATGAATCAAAAATCGTAACCCTAACCCTGGGTCGTCATAGCGTATGTGTATGCCTAGCGTGTATGTAGTAGCAGTGGTGGGACACTTGCTGAAGAGACGGAGCGGATCCCCCGGTGTTATGCCGAGTTGTCCGCACCTCGCGGGACTTTCGGATAATTTATCACCGTTGATGAACAACACAAAGAATATTTTATTGTTTTTAAATAGCCGCTACTTACTACTAATAGACCTGCAAGAAACCGCGACGTGCATGCAGTTGTCAGCAGCACGGCATGCATGCTAAACTCTGCACAAGACCGGTGAATAGCAGGCGAGAGAGAAAAAGAGAGACAAGCTCTGCAGCTTCTCATGATTAAAGCGGAGCCACCATGCCGCCAGAAAAGGACCATGATGGCAGCCAGTGCAGACGTGTGGTTCTGAGCTCCGGAAGTTTTTGAGTACCGGTCGCTTTATCCAAAGACAAAAACTGCAAAAAGTGAACGTAAAGGACAGCGGCCAGCAAGCAAAAGAGAAAAATGTAATAACACAAGTCTAATACGGACGTATTATTGTCGCATGAAACAACCTTGTTAATAGCTGCAACCGAGCTCTGCTAGCTAGCCTATTTACATTACAAGCTAATGTTAACCTGCCTATTGAACGTTGACCATGCCAAGTGAAGAGCAGAAGAGGGGGGAACTTTCTAATGGACTTTAAAGATGTCTGAAACCCCTGTGTCAAGTCCAAACACAATAAAGATTTTGTTCAAGCAGCCAGGAGAAGGAAGTGTCCAATCCCGACATATTAAAAGCTATCCAGGAATTAACAAGCAGATCTACCTCCCTTGAACAAAATATTAGCAAAAACACTGCAGACATTTTGTCCATCAAAGAAAATGTTGAAGGGATGGATCATTGGATGAAAACAACTAATGAGAAGATACATGCTATAAGAAAAAAAAATCTCAAGATAAAAAAAAAAAGATACAAAAAAAATAAGATACGAAGATTGAAGAAGCAGAACAATAGTCGATGCTGGATTTCTCAATAATATTGTACACCAGATTGGACATCCCAGGGAAGACAGGAGCCCATGTCCACTTCACTATGCGCACCTTCAGGCACAAAATCTGGCAGTGTCAGAAAAAGCTTTGGCCATTGGTTGACAAAGCGCGGAAGGAGGGGAAAATGTGACTTGGTGCGGCCCTGAGGTGATCATCGACGGAGTTACTGCAGACACGGTAAAAGAAATGATATAAGCATCACTTGATCTCTTGACTATGTGGTCCTACTTTAGATGTTGGTTTTGCCGAGACGGATCTAAAACAACAGGTTGGTCTAGATATTATACATTAGTCAAGTTAACAAAATTTTGTATGAAAGATTCCTTTGTGTCAAGTATTTTCCTATAACAGAGAATTTAATCTTGTAATGAAAGCTATTCCCAATGGTCTATCATATTTAATGAAATGTTATCTTCAATATGAGCAAGCACTGAGGTTAGAACCCCCTTTGATGATAAATGGTATTGTTATTATGAAAGCTAAATGCAACAATAAGCATATACGTAATAACCTGTAACAGAAGAAAAATTACTCCTAAAGGTAAATTCATCTGGGACTACATTCTCTACAGGTATCTATTGGAATAAGGCATGGTTACTCCCATTCAAATTTTGTATTAACAATAAAATTAATAAAGTGCACATTAAAATTGTAAATGCTCCGTATTTGTATAGCGCCTTTCTAGCCTTTTCGACCACTCATTCTGATTTTTCACTGGCCACATGCATTTTGTTTCCCTTCATATCAATAAAGACATTTCCACCATAAATTGGTTCAGAATATGTCTTTAGACATCACAGTACATCTGCATTCACCAGTCACACACATTCATACACTGAGCCTAAGCGCTCAAACGGAAACTAACATTGTGTAACATGTGTTTTTTGCCCAACTTAAGTTCAAATTAATTGAACTCCTGAGGCGACAAGCAGAAGCAAATTGCCTTTGTGTGAGAAAACAATTTTTTTTAATATAGCCTAATTATATTTGATAGTGTCATTCTTTCAGGGGGGGTGGGCCGCCATGTCTATCATCACATCAGTGGTGGACATTACTGCTAAAGAGCTCAACCATAAAACTGGGGTGGGTAATGTTGGATATAGTTTGGACATCCCTTCGGGGACTCCCTCCAAAGCCTCTCCCCCAAAACACATTTTCATCCGCAGTGAGTGCACAGGCAGAATTCACACAGACAGGCAGTTAGTTAGTTAGACAGGCAGGTACGCCAGCAAATATTTTCATTCAAACTGAATGAAGTCCTTGTCAGATGCCATGCTTATTACAGGCCTGCAATACAGGATTTTTCATAGTCAGACTCACTCTCTCGAATGGTGCAGGTCGATGTTCATCCACAGAGTGTTTCTCTGAGGAGAAAAGAAATTTAAAATGACTCAGAGTATTATAAACGATTTAACATAGACTATACGTATACTATAAGTTACTTCAAAAGGAAATAAAATAAAACACTATTTCATTAATGATTTATTGACCCCTGCCCACTGTTATATGATGATTTTTAATTAAAGCAGATTCACATTTTTTTATCATAAATAAATTATAAAATGTATTTATTATACATTTCTGAGACGCATGATTATGTGATATGACAACTTTTTATCTTCTTGGTCTTACTTTTGAGTGCGGAGCTGGGTTTTGACAATTTCTCCATCATATCAGTCCTGTTCATCTTCTTCAAAACCTCCCTGGTCAACTCCACAGACTGTTGGCCATAGTTCTCCACCATCAGTCTGACTATTTCTGCTCTGTCTGTGTGTCTCAACGTCCATGAGATGTATGGGAGGTCCTTCTGGGAGACAATCCACTGCAGGAACTCCTTGAATTTCTTGAGCTCCTTGTTACTCAAATCATTCAGGGTTTCCAAAAGCAGCTGTTCAACAGCTGCTATTGTTGCAACCTGAAACGATCAAAACGTTCAGGGAAAATATATTTAATCTGCTGGACCAATTAAAAATATGTTTGTTTCTGCCAGATCACGCGATGTATTGATCCATTTGGTTATTGCTGTTGCATTGATTATAGTTCACAACATAAATTTTATTGATGTTGTGAACTTGTTGTGAACTTGTTGTGTTCTTATTTTCTTTTCAAATTGAACACACAAAAAACACACAAAAAACTACAACTCTTTTCACAAACACTGAAATGAGTCAGAGCAGGAGAGCATGTTTTGTATTTATTTATATTTTAACACTTTGAAAAATGATTTGAAGTACGCTAAAAAGATGTTTGATCAATGTTTATTTTACTTACTCTCTGGATCAGTGCAGACCGGTGTTCATCTGCAGAAAGTTTCTCTGAGGAGAAAAGTGGTAAAAGTAATGAGTGATTCATCCAACATCTGACAATAAACAATGTTATAAGGCAATACTGCTTTCTAAATATTTACAGAACACAAAAACCTTACACCTCCTCAACAGTGACATATACGTTGTAAATGTATATATTATATAATATATATATAATAATTATAATTATATATTTTGAACTCCAGATGGTGTATCTTCTCTAAATTAGATATATAGTTTATATACGTTATACACTGTATATATACATACATACATACATAGCACATATAGTATATACAGTATATACACACTGTATGTATATATACACTATACTATGTATATATTTTATGTATCATGTAAAGAGAATAAGACATGGCACAAGTTATGAGACACATGTTAAGGACCAGTTTTATGATTTTAACATGTTTTTGTCTTACTTTTGGGTCCTGAGCTGCTGTCTGACAACCTCTGCGCCAGATCAGTCCTCTCTATCATCTTTAAAACCTCCTTGGTCTTCTCCACAGAATGTTGGCCATAGAGCTGCACCATTAAAATCACTGTAACCTGAATGTCTGTTGCCTCCAGCAGCATTAATGTGATGTCTGAGAAACACTGAATTTGACTCAGGAAGACATAATATATGAAGTCCTTGAGCTGCCCTCCACTCAAATCAGCCAGCGTTTCCAGAAGCAGCTCTATAACAGATGCCATTGTTTCTACCTGGTGAATTCAGAGCAAATGTTCATGGTGATTGCAACCATGTTTATATTTTTATTTTCAATTAATCAATTACCAAAAAATAGTTATTTTATATATATATATGGTTAACCAATCACTTAATGGATGAATAGTTTCAGTTTTAGTTTAAAGTCAGACAGATTACTCACTTTTTCAGTCACTGCAGGCCAATGCTCATCCACAGAGTGTTTCTCTGTTGATACAGGAACTATAGAAACCCGTTAATGATTAATTTAACATCAGGCTTTATAATGAGACACTGTCAGACTATAAAAATACTAATATTAAGGATTCACTGCAAAATGGACAGAACATTTACTTAATAGTAATATCATAAAAATCATTTCTCGACTTCACGTGATGAACACTTGTCAACATGACATCAGATTTGCTATTACACTCACTGTTTAAGGTTCATACACTGATATGTAAATTTAAATAAATATAGGGCTTTGAGGAAACTTTATTCTTAGTTCAATTAATTATATTTGTTGTTTTCATATATCTTATTTAGTGTTTTAAGTGTTTTTATCTATTATAGACCTACCTTTCTCTGTGGTATTCACACCAAAGGCTTCAGCAGATGATCCTTCAGCTGCAATGCATTTAATGAAAATTTTTATTGTAATAATAAATACACTGTGTGTACCCTTTCTGTGTACTTGTTCTAACTATAATACTAGGTCCTGAGAATAAAAGTCTTTTATTATTTAAGTTTCAGGTGTGTGAAAGAAGTAGTCATGGTCAATGAGAAAGCTATTCTACAGACAAAGAACATGTGGCCCAAAAAAGAAGAATGTTTTCAAAGAAAAGATGTTGAGAGAACTTGGAAAACACAACATTTACAAAAAAGGACCAAAGTTAACAGATTCATTAATCCTCAGAACATCGTTGCTTTAAAGTCCAAAACATTCACCTCTAAAGGATAATTTTTTTGAAAAGTGGTGGGAACATTTAAGGGTTCAGATTAGGGGTGAGACGAAACACTTAGTCCACAAGACATGATAATGCATAATATTGGAGTCACGAGAACAAGACAACAAGATACTTCAATGCTATTTAGAAGAAATATTCATTGATGAAATAAGCTATTCAATTGTGGGGTCTGGGGTCCCACCCCAGAAGATTTTGAGCATTAAACTCTTAATTTCTTGCAGTCTAGAGACATATTCTGAACCAATTTATGGTGGAAATGTCTTTATTGATATGAAGGGAAACAAAATGCATGTGGCCAGTGACAAATCAGAAAATAAAAATATTCTTGAATATAATTCAGTAATAAGCAGCTTGTTTTTTTGGCCTAAGTTACTTTTTTTGGACATGGTAGATTTGTTTCTTCCATATTTACATTGCAATATTTTCCTATTAGGCATGTAAACCTTTCTCATAGAATCTTAATTTGTTCTAATTTTCAGAAAACTTTTAGCAAATGCTTTCAAAAAGTGTTGGGGACGAAACCAGCCATTTCAAAAAGTGTTGGGGACGAAACCAGCCATTTCAAAAAGTGTTGGGGACAGCACTTTGTAACCATGTATATTTATTATTATACATTAATGTATTATGCACCACAGTTACCTCTGCAAATCAAATTGCCTCACCGATATACAAACCTGGATGCAAACAAACTTCCTCCCCCAACTCGATTAAAATAAATCTGACAGGTTTCATCGGCACCAAATCACTCACAAAAAACACCAACAACTTCAGTCTCTCCATCAACAACTCTACCAAGTCCCCATCCCCACATAACCACAACCTCGGAGTCATCTTTGTCAGCAACCATATAACCATATCACCAGGACTGCCTTCTTTCACCTCAAAAACATTACCTGTCTCCATCCATCACTCACCTTCTCTGCTGCCGAAACCTCGATCCATGCCTTCGTTACATCCAGAATTGACTACTGCAATAGCGTCCTCTATCTTCCAAGCCCTAAATAAACTTCAATATATCCAAAACTGTCCACACCCACACCTGTGACCAGGCGCTTTGAGAAACTGGTTCTTCAGCACATAAAGAACAACATCCCAGCCAGCCTGGACCCTCACCAGTTTGCTTTCAGAACCAACAGATCCACAGAGGATGCCACATCCACTGCCCTCCACTCAGCCCTCACACACCTTGAAAAAAACAACACCTACATCAGAACGCTGTCTGTGGATTTCAGCTCAGCATTCAACACAATCTCCACCATGAAACTGATCAGCAAACTCAGCACTCTGGGTTTAAATACAATGCTCTACAACTGTAGACACCCTCACAAACAGACCCCAGTCAGTTAAGATTGGCGGACACACTTCCTCCCCTCTAGTTTTCTGCACTGGAGCCCCCCCAGGTCTGTGTGCTCAGCCCCCTCCTGTTCATGCTGTACACCCACAAGTTCACACAGAGAGAACTCTGTTATAAAGTTTGCGGACGGCACCACCATCATCGGCCGGATTTCAAACAACGAGGGTTCATATCGGGAGGAAAGTGACAATCTTCCAGAGTGGTGCACAGCAAACAACTTCTGCTTAACTTTTAGGAAGAAGGAGATAAAGACACACACTCTTGTCTACATCAGTGGAGCTGAGGTGGATCAGGTGAACAGTTTCAGGTTCCTCGGAATCAGCATCACAGAGTGTTAGGAGTGTGGTATTTGTGTTCATGTCTTTCCTGTTTAAGTCTGTTTTTGGTTCTCTGTTTGTCTGTAGTCTTGTTCAGTTAGTTCCTAGTCCTGTGCGTTAGTTAATATCTTTTGTGTTTACTCCTGGTCTTGTGTTCCCTGTTTAGTCTTGTGTATTCCCTTGTTCTTTTACTGGTTCTGTTTAGCTCTGTCGCATTCTTGGTTATTCACTCTGCCCCATGTCTGCTTGTCTAAGTGCTCTCTCTGTTGTCTCTGCCTGCCTGCCTCTCTGTTTTCCTGCTGTCTCTCTGCCTCCCTCGTTAGCCTCATGTCTGTCACCTGCGTTGCTCCCGCCCTGCTCATTATCCCTGGTATATATGTGTGGTCTTTCTGTTCAGCCCTTGTCCGGTGTTCGTGTTACCTTCTGTGCGTGGATTCCCCAGTGTTAAGTCTTGTTGCCTGTCTTCCTCGTCGTGTCTCTCTGTTTCCCTGCTCATTTTGGATTCTCACCTGTTTGGATAACCTGTTTTTGGACTCTGTTGATCAGCCACTCTGCTTGTAAGTGTGCTCGCCTTTAGTTTGTATTAAACCCCGTTCAACTGTTCCTCCTCTGCCTTGCGTCCTGCGTTTGGGTCCTCCAACCTGCCTCCACCCCACCCACCGTAACACAGAGAACCTGACATGGTCATCTCACATCTCCACGCTGGGGAAGAAAGCCCAGAAACTACTATATTTCTTGAGGAAGCTTAAGAAGGCCAAATTCCCGTGCCAAGTTCTTGTCAGCTTTTACAAAGGAGCAACAGAAAGCATCCTGACTGGAAACATCAGTAACCGGCATGGGATGTGCACGGCCCAGGCCAGGAGGGCTCTGCAGCGGGTGATTAAAACTGCTCAGAAGATCATTGTACCCATCTCTCGAGCATCAGTGATATGGGTGAGGTGCCTACGCAGAGCCCAAAGGATACAGACCTTTCACCACTGCTGCCCCCTCACTGTGTATCTTATACGTACATAATTACTGATTTTACTGAGAAGCGCTATAGAAATAAATAGTATTATCTTTATTTTACCTTTGGGTCCTGAGCTGGTCTCTGACAACCTCTGCACGAGATCAGTCCTGTTCATGTCCATGAAAACCTCCTTGGTCACCTCTACAGACTGTTGACAGAACATCTTCATTATCATATCCACCAGTTCGTCTGTCCTGTCTGTCATCAGCATCAGTTTCCATGAGATGTCTGGAAGGCTCCTATGGAAGAACCCAAACTGCAGCAACCACTTGAACTTGTTCAGCTCCGAGTAACTCAAATATCTGAGTGTTTCCAAAAGCAGCTGTTTAATAGCCGCCATTGTTGCCACCTGAAAAATTCAAAATTCAAAGAGGAAATATGTTATTTCTTCACTGGAAACATTTAGGACTTATCTTTTAGCATCTAATCAGTGCCGCTATTTTAGACGTTTGAATGTTAAGTTTTGTGTTTCTACAACATCACCTAAGCTACAGATGCATTTGGTAATTTTCTGTTTGTTAGAGGTAAGGAGGATTCATTTTTCCTTCTTCCCTTAAATATCTGTAACCTGATTAATGTTTGTTATTTCCAGGTTGTAACTCAATTTAATTAATTTAAATGAGCCACTCATCTCAACATCAGATCTTGTTGATGAAGTAACTGTAGAAACAGGTGGCAGCACAATGCATATATTTTCTCAATTTCATGTTTTGGATTTTGTTTAATTCTTTGATAATCTTTAAAAACAGATTTTCAAACTCCATCAAATGTCACCTTCAATTCTGTGAGACACATTCAATTTAAATCATGAGTTTGATTTAATTTAACATCATTAATGTTGATATGATTTGAACCTGCATCTAATAAGAGCAGCACTCTGCATGGTCAGACAGGTATGACACTGCTCACCTTGTGGATCAGTGAAGACAGGCGTTCATCGACAGAGTGTTTTTCTGAGGAGAGAGACAGGACATATATACGGGTGATTGAAAAAGAATTACAATACAAAGGGTCAATACAGAATTATCCAGAAACCTTATCAGTTACATGTAATTGATCAGTGATATTTTGCCCCTCTCCAGAAAATTTTCTTTACTTTACATTAATCACAAAATCTGTTGGAGACACAAGATGATGCTTCTTTTCTGTTTTCTTCACGTTAGGTTTCATGTTTTTAACGTTTTTGTCTTTATTGTCTTACTTTTGGCTCCTGAGCAGGTGTCTGACAACCTCTGTACCAGATCCGTCCTCTCCATCCTCTTTAAAACCTCCTTGATCTTCTCCGCAGACTGCTGGCCGTATATCTGCACCATTAAAAACACTGTGTCCTGCATGTCACCCATAATAAGCAGCCAGCATGGGATGTCTAAGAAGTGTCTGTGTAGGTCAGTTTGATTGAGGAAATATTTGAACCTCTCAAACTCCCCGACACTTAAATCAGTCAGTGTTTCCAGAAGCAGCTCTATAACAGACACCATCGTTTCCACCTGGAAAATTCAAAGGAAATGTTCATGGAGCAAAAGTACAGTTAATCAGCTGGAATGATGACAGATTTTTCTCAATCATCTGTGTTTAGAAATATGGATGTATTCAGAGTACATCAGCCATTTACACAAGATATTGCTGATAATATTTGTGAAACTGCTTGTACATGTATAAATTTCTCATTAACATCAATGTTACTCCCTTAAGTCCATCCATCATCATTTGCTTATCCTGCATACAGAGTTGCGGGGGGCTGGTGCCAGTCCCAACTTACTTTGGGCGAAAGGCGGGGTCCACCCTGGACAGGTTGCCAGTCCATCGCAGGGCCACACATAGACAAACAACCACTCACACTCACACCTAAGGACAATTTTGGAGACACGAATTAACCTAGCCTGCATGTCTTTGGACGGTGGGAGGAAGTCAGAGCACCCGGAGAGAACCCATGTGGAATATGCAAACTCCACAAAGAAAGGCAATCGGGGTTTGAACCCCCAACCTTCTTGCTGTGAGGAGACAGTGCTAACTACTGCACCACCACGCTGCCCTTCCCTTTAGTCCACTTTTATAAAATAACAAACTTGCTTTTACTATTGCCTACATTACATTGCCTATTGTAACTCTTTCAAAGACGGGGCTACAAAGACAGCAATGAGTCTCTTTATTTGACAACAGAGTGGCTGTTTAACTTGTTGCATCTTTTCTTCTAATATAAAAAGTAACAAAACACACCAACTTATTTTTCTGTTTTAAAATATTGTGAATTTCTATCTCTGTCAAACTAATCAAGAAGAATGTACTGTATATTCCCACAGATACAGTATAGAAGGTAGATATAACACATCCTTAAAATTATTAGTAAATAAAAGCATTCATGCTTAAGACCTCGCATTTACATTATGTAGCTTGATCGGTTCAATTCTTTGAGAGAACTATCTGAGGAAAATGACATCATTGTATTGTATTTCATCATTGTATCATCAATTATAATCTTCAAGATGAAGATGATTTTCAAGCTTCTACTGAATCAAAGCTGCACTGTGTACAGTCAAAATACTCACTCTCTGTATCAGTGAAGGCTGCTGTTCATACACAGAGTGTTTCTCTGAAGGGGAAAGAAATACAAAATAACTGATTTAACATCAGATTTTGAAATACAAAGGATTTAATTCCAAAATGTCACTCCTCCTTAACAGTGACATAATGTAAAGCTACTTAAAGATTTTCCAACATAGTTGAATGGTTTTGGATGTATTTGTTTTTGCATTAAGCACAAACTTAAAACATCTGATCAAACATTTCTACCCCAGCTGATGTACTTTCCTGAACGTAGGAGCTCATGTTTTAGGTTATTTGCTCTGGCAGCAGTGTCTGGTTGAAACACACACCGTGTGAACGTCCAGCAAAGAACTAACAACTGCACAAGATGTGTTTGCTGTACTTCTAACATGATTTGGTAAGTTTAACAGAACAACTACACTACATTGCATGTTTCGTTGCTCTGGTTGGTTGTAGGTCTACCCAATTTCATCTAGAGGCCTTTTGGTTTGCGCCCATTGATATAACCCCTTCGAAATCAAACGGATAGGCTCCAGAAATAAGCATAAGTGATATGATGCCAGGCTAATACTTTCCTATTTTTTGATGATAAATATATATTATCATTTTTTTTTTCTTCTTTGCCTTACTTTTGGTTCCTGAACTCATGTCTGACAATCTCTGCACCAGATCAGTCCGGTTCATCTTCTTTAAAACCTTTTTGGTCAGCTTCACACAGTCTTGGCTGTACGTCTCCATCAGCTCCACTATGTCCTGTGCATTTGCCACTTTTAATCGCCTCCATTTGATGAGTGGGAAATTTTTCTCCAATTCCAAATTTAAGTCATTCCAAATGAGTGACTTGAATTCATCAAGTTCCTCAAAACTCAAATCGTTCAGTGTTTCAGAAATAATCTTCTTCGCCGACATTGTGGTCTTCACCTGGAAAATAAAAAGGACATTTTTATTTTTATAGGACAGTTTATGCACGACAAGATGTATGCTGTTTTTGTGATTTACTACCATGACTGGAAAGTGATCTCTCATTTTTATCACTAAGTTTACACAATTATATATACAGTATATATATATGCTTTTATCCAAAACCACCTACATTTGAGGAACAACATACCAGTATCAGTAAAGTAAGGTATCTACAAGTGACATTTGATATTGGTGAAGAGCAGCATAAAGACATCACAATGAAAATACAGCAGCGGAAAGACAGTACAGATAATTGATGCAGACCCAGAGAGGTGTTTATGGCTGCGGACCAGCGGAGTCTTGATCTGTGATTGCTGGCTTCCCGCTGCAAAGAGAGCGACAGGTGTCTGTGTTGCGGTCAGGTCATGGGGGTCGCCAGGTCATTTTTCACGGGGCTTTAGCCCTGGATGTTTTGCCTGTAGTCCCAAATGTAACTCAGCAACAATTAATATGCAATAATCCTCATTACGCAGCTCGTCTCACAGGTCTTGGTAGAACAGAGGCTATTCGCAATAACATTGTTACATTTTGTTTGAAGTTCATGCAAGGTTGACCCCCCCACCGTTGCTCAGCATGCCTGCATTTAAAGTGAGAGAGAGAGAGGGAGAGGGAGATGGCACATTGGTTACAGCTTCAGAGCTTGTCAGGGACTAAAGAATTATCTTTATTAAATGTTGTCAGTCAGTGTCTAGTCAGTTTATTTGCTACCCAAACTTTTCACAGTCCGCCACAAAGTAGCGAGAGAATAACCTACAAACACCTGACCACGACACAGACACCTGTCGCTCTCTCTGCTATTTCCGTCCTCCTCGCTCGCAGTTTGACTTGTCTCTCTGCTCTGGGATGCTTCGCTCTGAAGCGCACTTTATCAGAGGAGCTGAAATTAACCTTTGTGTGAATAGTGAGATTTATTTCTGATCTCAAGTGTGTGGTGTATAACATATGTGCATTTGACGCATAACAGTTTAACATAGCACTGTAGCAGCTGGATAGAGGATTAGTGACCTTTTAACGGGAGAGCAGAGGTTAGTGGTTAGGTGGAGACTCAGACCCTTATATGGATCGGTGCCTTAGTTTGCAGACTCAGACCCTTATATGGTGTCTAACAGATACCTAAACATGTCCTATATAAGCTGTGTTTGATGTACAGAGAGACAGAGTGGCCATCAGGCTGGGTCACTCTCCAAGCTGCTGCAGAGTTTGTAATTGATGCTGAACTCCTTGATGTAATAAACTTTTATGATCAAGAACAGTGTCAAGCGGATTTCTTCTCAACACATCATCGCAGCATTATTGTTCGGACACCACAAGTGTTTTCAGTTTTCCACCTCTGATGAAGAGCAGTGCGCTCGTCTCATCAAGTTTGCTGCAGTCCCAGACGGGGTCCGTGTCTGTCAGACGGTCTGAAGGGGGTAGCCTACTACCATATCAACAGAGAAATAAGGCAGGGCAGCCTACTGCTCAGCAGAGGTGTAGGTAGATTTTGTTAAAATATTGCAGATGTCAAAGAACACAGATATGCGGGGGAGATTCTGAATGTGCAGAAAGTTTTGAACCCAAGCAGAAAACCTGCTGAAACACAGGAGTTTATAATTGAATTAAAATTAGCACTAATTAATTTCTCATTGAGGTGAAAAGGTGCCACATGCACATTGAAAGACTTTACTTAAGTCATAAATACATGTGCTGACTCAGCAGTAAATGAGAAATGTTTCTAGAGCCTGGAAACGCCCCTGGGTCAGGTGTGTCGTGTTATTCGCTCGCAACTTTGTGGCGGAATGTTAACCGCTTGTGTCGTAAATACACTGACTAGAAACGGACTGGCAAAATTTATAGCTATCTGTTTTCATTACAGTTTTGCTAGGGACAATTCAGTAGTCGCTGAGAAGTAGTGAAGCTGTGAACAATGCGCTTTCTCTCTCTCAATGCAGGTAGACTGAGTAATGGTGGGGGGTCACGTTACGTGAACTTAAAGATTATTGCATGTAATATATATATATATATATTGTTGTTGAGTTTGGCTATATTCGGGGCTAAAGTTTCAGGAAAAGTGACCTGACGACGCCAATGCCGCTGGACAGGAAGTGAAAACTATGAAAGTGAAGATTAACACACACAAGCGTTCTGCAAAAAATAATAATAATAACGTTACCGTTTTAAACGAGCTTGTAGCTTCAGCCGTTAGAGCTGAACATCGTCCATTTTTTCTGATTGTGACAAAACTGAGTTGAAGTCTGTTCCCCTCTCGATTAGCGTTTCCCTCCCATAGCAGTGCTTGAAGTGTATAAACCTTGGTACCCCTCCCCCCCGCACAAATCCACAACCTAAATATTATAACAATTAACGACTTTGAGCATGAAACACTTTCATTTCCTGCATTCTGGACACATTTTCTGCACCAATTCAGAAAGAAAGGAGTAGCCTAAATGTATTTCTTCATATGACGGGAAAAGTCATCTGTATTGCAAAAAAAAAGGGATACATATCAGAAGTGACCTACCAAAATATACAAAATATACATAACAATATACAAACAAGCCAGAGATCAGATTAAGGTATTAAGGTATCTGTGAGGAATCATCCAAACCTTTTTCCAGGCAATGTCATTTACAAATCGGTTCCAGTAAAATGTAACATTTGGAATAGAAACAATTTCTTTCTGAAATAAAGCACAAAAGTTCTTAATATTTTGATGAAGTTGGGAAAAACAGATTTTTCCTGTTGATTCAGCCACACTGGGGAGGATGGCAGAAGTAGGTAGAAGTCTGCCAGTATATCTAAAAAGCATGATTGTGCCTGATGGAATGGCGTCAAATACAATTGCAAATTCTCTTGGCGTAACTGGAATGTTAAATGTTGATAAAAACTCTCTGTAGGAGAAAAGTCGCCCCTCTCCATTAAATAGCTGGTCCACCAGCAGAATCTGATTGAGTACCCAATTCTCAAAAAAGACTGATTTGTTCTCATATAATATATCTCTGTTATTCCAACTTAAATACCTGTGAGGTGAGAAATTATGCTTATAGATTAGAGACCATGCCAAAAGGACCTGCTTGTGAAAAGTGGACAGTTTTACAGGGAGCTTGTCCACATTGTAGTTACAGTTTAGAATAAGTCCCAGACCACCAAAGCGAGAGAATATATAATGGTGAATAAAACTCCAAATCGAGACAGAGTTTTTAAGAAAATGCTTAGCCCAATTAATCTTAAAAGTATTAGAGTATTGAAGTCCAAAAAGTTGAGCCCACCAGATTCATTCATTATTCATAACACTTTTTTGATATAATGGGTATGATTTTTCCAGATGAAGTCAAAAAGCATTCTATCAATATCTTTACAAATTTTACTGTCCAAGTGTAAAGAGAGAGCTGCGTGTGTAAGCCGGTAGAGAAATTTAAAGGACATCTCATTTTCTGATCTTTAGAGATAATAATACCTAAGTACGTAACTTCCTCCTTGATCGAAATGTTGCAAATAGTTTGTATATTACAATCTTTTAAAGGCAATAGTTCACATTTATTAATATTTAGGCATAGACCAGAGGCCTCTGAAAACTGGTTAATTACTTGAATGGCAACAGGTGTCTAGCTTGCATTTTTTAAAAAGATTGTAGTATCGTCCGCAAGCTGACTGATGAGGATATACCTGCCCACAATATAAATTCCTTGTATAGCACTGTTACCGACATGAGCTGTGAGAATTTGTGTACAAAGTAAAAACAGATAAGGGGAAATCGGGCATCCCTGACAAATGCCCCGTTTCACATTAAATCTAGGGGAAGTTCCGTTTTTCAGTTTGATAGAGCATATAAGGTTTTAATTGCTTTGCAGAAAAAATCCCCAAAACCAAATTTTTCCAAAAACAGAAAAATAAATTGGTGTTCTATTGTATCAAAAGCCTTGTAGAAATCTAAGAAGAGGATGAAGCCATCTTCAAATATCAAGTCAGAGTAGTCAAGAATATCTAATACTAGTCTGATTTTGTCTCATCTATAATTGTGTCAAGAGTTTCTTTAATTGTCCTGGCAAATATTGACGCCATTATTTTGTAATCATTGTTTAGCAGACAAATGTGTCTCCAGCTATCAATAAAAATGTCTTTTTTGTAGGTTTGGGAATCAATGTGACCAGCACTTGAGTGAGGCTAGGAGGAAGTGTATCATTCTCTATACTCCATAAAGAGAGAGAGGGAAATGTTGAATCAGGTAATAAGCTATGATCTCTCTCTCTCAACAAATGTTAGCTAGCATTACAGCGCTAACATGTAGGTGACGTATATTGTGCTAGACGAGAGATGTAGTTCGTTGAACGGTTTTCACACAAAACAACATGTAACTTTACTGTTTTACGACAAACTGCTTTCAACAAACTCTCTTGACTTGCAAAATTATATTTCAAATTGACCAACATCATATGTGTAATTCAAGGCTCAATTCTAACGGGATAAAATACATATGATGATATGTTAGATATGTTGTCTCCCGCCCAAAACTGACATTGACACGCTACATTCAGCACACGGCTGCTTGAAAGGCACCCGAGCTTCTCTTCTTCCTCGTCTCTCTCTGTCGACAGAACTTAGCAGGCAGGCGAAAACGGGAACAGGTGAGCGTCACGTAGCGCCCTGATATGGAGAGGTCAGAGGAGAGTACCGGCATGGGAGAAATCCCAGTACGCCAAAGAGTAAAATGTCGTGACTGCTTACTGGTGCCTACCGGCCCACTTCAAGCATTGTTCCATAGCATACATCCTGCATCTGTGGCAGCTTTTGGGGGGGAGTCAACAGGGGCCAGTGCCCCTGTAGCACAGACCCTGGACCCCCCCTATGGCCCCCCTCTGACCGAAAATCTACAACAGCCCTGTTGAATTGGCAGCCGCCAGCCAAAGCAACCTCATGTGGCCCAGACCTGCATTCATGTGGAATCGGAAAACTGAGTTCCTGACTAGGAAAATTAATTTGAATGCCCCCTCAATTCAGAACAACAACTCGGAAACTCTGAATTTTTGGTAGAAGACTTGCCAAGTTGACGTAATTTTACACATGGCGGATTAATTCACACATTTCACAGAGTTTGCTAACATGTAAGGTTAGGCCTAATTTGTAATATGGTATTAGGTTGTAACCTTTCGTTGCTGCCCCCTTAGACTGTGTCGGCTTCCCCCAACGCACCAGAAGATTGCCCCTTGCTGCCCACCCGAATTATTTGTAATTTGCATTAACTCAAAAGTCAGGTCAAAGTAATATTTTAGTGGTGTTAGGGAATGTAGCTTTCTGGTGCAGCAACAAATCTGGAACATAGTTTCAGCATAGGCCTACATGGATAGCAATTTCACATAGCCTACATAACAAACCATTTCCCAGACGTCCATGCAGCACGTCAATATAGCATAAGTTTATAGCTATGGTATATAGCCTAATGTTGCATTCACTTGCTCCTCGAATGGTCCCATTTATGCTAAATATTGCTTTATCTGACTTGCTATCATGGATAATGCTAATAAAAACTACTAATACAAGGCTGCCAACGACACATGACATGATTTTCTCATGCCCTTTTTACAGCAGCCATAGCAATGTAAACCCTGCTATGATGGGGACACTGTTCTGTAAGAGTTGTCGTCCTTTGGATGAGACTGGGTGAGATGTGTGGTGAGCGTTCTGGCGCTAAATGGCTGCCGTGCATCACCCAGGTGGGTGCTACACATTGGTGGTGGTTGAGGTGAGTCCCCCCCACTTCACTGTGAAGCGCTTTGAGTTTCCATGATAAAGCACTAAATAAATGTAGTGCATTATCATTATTTTAAAAAGGGAGTAAACATTTTAAGTTACTTACAGTGAAATGTATAGCTTAGCCTAATCACTGGGCTTGAACATAAACAAAAGTTAACACATTAATTTACAGTGATCTTAATACAACTTTTGACAGTGTGTGATATCTTAATATAAGCTAACCATATGCTATAATACTGTATTAGTTTCATTTTCCCATACTAGAATCAGTGTTATCAGCAATAAACAGGCTTAGGCTACATGTTTCCAAAATGTGTAAGAGTAAATGCATTGCCAGAACAGGTGCATTATTGTTTCTGGGCACTTCACACAGTTAACAATAAACATCATTATATTTTTTTAAACATAAGATTAGGACTTGCAGGATATGATAGCCTATCTTACTTTATTGCTAAGGAGATACTTGTATGGAAGACTCCAAATATTTTTAAATTCAAGTTGTCAACTAATCTAGACAAATAGGATACAGCAGGAGGGATACTAGTTATATCTTTATGAAACGAGACAATTTAGAGGAGACATGCCACTCAGTCACATCCTCAATACAACTCTGTTGGGAAAGCCCGTAACGGTAAAGATGGCAGTTATCCCGCCCCTCCTGCAAGAAAGCCAATCATCTGCTTTTAACAGCCAAAGCAGGAATCATATTTCAGCCAATCATGTGGTTCCACTGACGTAAGGGTCCGTATTATCTGCACTACGCATGCGTAGGAGAAGTATAACCGGTCGGGAAAAACGCTTTTTAAACCTTATTTTGGGGCAAAGTTGTCAAACTTTTTCGGCGACTATTATCAGATTTTAATGCTGATTCTATTCATGTAGTTTTTATGTCCCGGTGACCTGTATAAGTGCAGTTCTTAGTATTAGTATTTCTTAAAGTAGTAGTACCTCCCAGAGACGGTAAAAGTTCCCGTCTGTTAGTTACTTACATCCAGTAACCACAGAGACCTACTATTTGAAATAGTGCAAATATGCTCAGTAAAACACTGTCATTTGGGTTTTGCACACAAGGTCATTATGGGTTATGAGAAAGTGGACAAACTAGCCAAACAAGCTATTAATGAAGGAACCATAGAGATCATAATTAAACTTTCAAAAACAGAGGGAAAGGTTGTTGGATGGAATAAAATCAGTATGGCAGTAGCACGGGATCAGGAGATAAGAGGAAGGCAACTAGCCTAGGCTATACGCAATGAGAGAAACAGGGAAGGAAATAGAAAAGAGGAAGTAATGACCAATAATAGGACATGGTAACATTTTATTATGGAAGCATCCAACTGTAATTGTACGTAAAACAGTACAGTAAAACATGTAATTGTTAGTTGTAAGAAATATACCTCAGACAGAAAGCACACGATGGAGGGAATAAGATAATGTTGAGAATTATTTTAGAGCATTATAGCCTAAATAGTTATCATTAATTACTAGAGCGAAGGTGGTTTACATTGTCATCATTTAAAGTGTTATTTTATAGTGAAAGTTAAGATCACAGTGTTAAGACTCTATAGCTCTGAGTGTGTGTGGTCCTCTCTGTGTCCAACTGCCCAGAGGCAGTAGCACATGTGTGTGTAAGCAGGCACGTGTGCTCTGGGATCAGAATGAGCACAGCAAGGCATCATCAAAAACACCAGCAAAGGAAAATGTAGAAGCAGAATCAGTGAAAATTGTGTTAAAAAACATACATAAATATAGTCCATCACAGTAAGAATGTCCTGTCTCTAGCACACAGCACAAACAGACATAAGTCAAGTCAGTCATCAGTGTTTGTCTTTAATCAGTATTAATAATCATTCTTAATCATTTTTATTATCTTTAATCAGTATTAATAATCATTCTTAATCATTTTTATTATCTTTAATCAGTATCAATAAGTAATCATTCTTAATTCATCATTTTAAATTAGTATTAATCATTAATCATTCTTAATCATTTTCTTTTCACCTAGATGTGTCTTGTTTTTACTTAGAAGTGCTGTACTGTAATCTTGAATGCAGTAACAAGCTCACTGTGGTTAAAATCCTTGAGTGGGAGCATTGACTGCAGACACTGAGACTATGCACGCCTTGTTCAACTGTTCTACTATAGATTTATGACTGTAGGAGAGGCTGCAGGTGTTCACAGTCTGCTGTTATCTACTGTTGTTATGATTACATGAGGAACTGCTGATGTATTAGTCTGCTGATATTAAGACTACATGTTTAATTACCAATGAAGGGGTTGATTGTCAACTTCCAACCTCTGATTATTACAGCCTATGTGAACTTTGAGTGAACTTGCAGGAATTTTTACTTAACTTTTCACGTCAGATAGTGGATGACACAAAAAGCGACAGAGGCTTACTCAAATCACGTCAGATAGTGGATGACCAAAAAAACATCAGATGCTTGATGAAAACATGACAGAGAGATGATAAGCAGAAAGCAGAAAACAGCCAGCATAACATCAAGATTGCTGTAAGAAACCAAACATTAATGAAAGATGCAACTTTACTTATGTTATTCTTATATTAATTGTTTAAAAAATGTTATTGTGTGTCAAATTAAGCATGCGTAACTTTTAAAGAGTGAGACTGAAGTTGAAATCTAAATGGTGAACTTCTTATCCAGTAGTATAAAGATATAGAAAGTCAACAATACAGTAATAAATGACAGCTGGAGCACATTGTTAATTGGTAAAATAACACATGTAAACAGCAGAACTGCAGAGGAAAAGAAGTTCATCGTGAGGAAAGGAGGGGGCAAACCAGACCAGAGGGGAGTATATAACTGATATATGACTGTCCTGTTTTGGAATAAACTCTTTTTCACCGACTCTTGACCGTCTCCAGAGAAGTTTTTGATTGCAAACTTATTGAGTATAATAGAAAGTTAATGGAGTATTTTTTGACAAAGTTTATAAAGGTGGTGAAGGTGGGGACCAGGCTTAACTGGCCCAGCCTGGTTGTACATCTGACCCAACAATAAGATAGATTTTATTGATCCTACACTGGGGAAATTCACTTCCTACAGCAGCTCCTGATACAGCACAACGCAACAGTCAAGAAAATAACACATTAAATAAAAATAGAATAGAAACAGAAAAATAAGAATAAGAGTTATGTGTACACTATATACACCTTTTATATATATATATTTAAAACATTGGGGATAACAGGAGCAGGTTTAAACGACATACTGGAGTGTGATGGAAGCAGACAGAGCAGGAAGTTTGTGGTCAGCTTTCTTAAAAAGGACAGGATTGATCTGAAAATCTGACAATCCAGATGATGTAGAAGTTAACTAACCCCAGAAGATGGCAGTAATACAACACCAATGATGTAAGCTGCTGTTGAACCTGAAAGAAGAAGAAGAGGAAGACAAACAGACAGGTGATTCTGGAGGGTTCAAAGTTGTAGATCGTGTAACTTTAAGTCTAATGTTATTCATTAATGAGCCATGTGGTGTAGTAACGTTATTCATTCAGTTTTCAGTGTTCATCTGCGTTAAATGTCATGTTCTGTAAAATTAGATTATTTTTGCTAACCTCTTGAGTCGCAGCATTAATGTCACCTAGCTAGTAGGGAGCCTTCACATTTGTGTTTGTTTGTTTGTTTAAACAGTAATTTATGTAGATTTGTGGTTCCTGGCAGAGACTTTATATAGAGGCCCTGGTCCTGAAGACCAACGTGGAGTCTCGCCTGGCTGTTAAAGGGAAAATACACCTGAAAACAGATATTATCTGCGTTAGTTAGCATAGCTTTAGCACTGTTGTGGAGGTCTCTTGCTGCTCATGATACTGCAACCCGACTGTGTAATCTTGTATTTTTTGAAAAAGTCATTGCAAATTTTTTGGCAATTTTAGCAACTTTCTTCAGTTAGCTACCAGTGAATTGTGTGTATAAATGTGGTTGCGCATTCTGCCATAACTGCATGACACTGCTTTTAAGGCAGCACTACACCTCCAAACTCCCCCAAATGTGAATTGTGTATATTTGTATTTCTGTCATTGCCGTTGATCAGAATTTGCTCAACTTTGGGATCTCTTTTATTCCAAATTAACATCACTATGTAGAATTACTTACATTTCTTTTCTTGTGAATCATTTGTCAGTGCCAAGCCCATATAATAAATAAAATAATAAAATAAAACATGAACCTTATTTGGTGAAATAGCAATGCTTTATGGTCATTTCCATGTACTGTATTCATTAAATGTAGCCTACAAGCCTAGTTTGTGACAAATTGAATGAGTTACCACAATGAGGAAATAAAGCCTCTGTCAACAAAGCAGGATTATGGGAGACAAGGTGAATATTTATCAAAATGTACTACCAGCATTATAAATGTGCTAAAAATTTATTTAATTTTATAAATTTAAACTCCCTGAACAATAGACATTCAGATCTTGACTTCTTCCTATAAATCTAATTTCTATCTTTAAATTATTTGTTGTAGTACTCTGATGTCATTGCTTCATGACCCAAATATTGACTTTGTTGTTTCTGTAAGCTCTCTCTTAGCTGACAGAATGAGCTTCCTTTCTTTAAAGATACTTTATATGACTAATTGCATTTTTAATAACTTTTGCTTTTTAAATCCACAGGAGTGTGCCAGAAATGAGTTGCAATTTCCACCTCCTGGTTTCCCGCAGTGACATCTACCATGGCCGTTTTCTGCTTGTCTTGTCTCGACAGTCCGTGTTGCTCAGAGCTCTCAGCACTGGGCCCCAGATCAGCCGCAGCCTGCAGGAGAGCTACAGGCTTCTGCAACTGCCTGACCAGGGACATAGCAGTCCTGGGCAGGTGAAAGAGGCCTACTTGCGCCTAGCCAAGCTTTACCACCCGGACTCTGGGGCTCCGACTGCAGACGCAGTGCTGTTTGCTCGGGTGGAGGAGGCCTACCGTGCTGTGCTGGCGCATCAGAGCAAGACCAAGCAACCTGATGGAGGAAAGGAAGCAGAAGAGGAGGAGTCCAGAGGTACAGCACTTCCACACAGACACTACCTCAGCTACGAGGGTGTGGGTTCAGGCACACCCAGCCAGCGTGAACGTCAGTACAGGCAGATTCGTATCGACCGGGCATCTGAGCAGGTTTTGAATTACCGACAGAGGGAGCATGAGAGGGCAGCTGCTGCCGAGGGGGCGCTGGTGGAAAGGGACATGCGTCAGCGCAGCCGAAAGGTCCAGATCACCCAGGCTGTGGAACGGCTTGTGGAAGACCTGATCCAAGAGTCCATGGCCCGAGGAGACTTCAGGAACCTGAGTGGAGCTGGAAAGCCCCTCAACAAGTTTGAGCACAATCCTTATGCTGATCCAATGACCCACAACCTCAACCGCATTCTCATAGATAATGGCTACCAGCCACCCTGGGTTGTCACACAACGCGACATCCGAGAGACCACTGCTCAGATTCGAAATAGGTTATTGGATGGTAGGGTCAGGCTCGGTGACCCCATGACCTCCAAAGAGCACAGGCAATGGGAGCAGCTGTGTGCATCTGTAGAGGAGGAGTTAGTGAAACTTAACAAGATGGTGGACAATTACAACCTCATAGTACCGATGCTCAACATGCAAATGGTTCACTTTAGTTTGTCACGAGAGATTGACCGTGCTGTGAAAGGAGCCTGCCAGCACCGACTGGACCAGCAGAGAGAGAGAGACAATGAGAGAGAGAGGAGGAAGGAGGAGAAGAAACAAGCCATTGCAGTAACCACACCTAAAAATACCAAACAAGACCTGATGTCTTGGATGAAGGCTTTGCTCAGATTAACACACTAACACTCTGACTCTAAGTGAACAGGACAGTGATTTGAGATCAGTGGTTTATTTGTCAACCAATAATTACAGTCCATGGGACTATTTCACACTTGTTCACCTGCTTATTTCTGTGTATGTCAGACACAATATTGCCACCAATTTTACTCTGTGTTACAACCGTATTGAGCAATTGTAGTTGCTGTGACTGTAAAGTGTGAGGAACTGCATGTGTTGATAACAAAGATTACAACATGAACCATTTTTATGATATGATGTGAAGTTGTTTCTGTGAAATTACTGATCTGAACATACAAACCTACTTAACACTAACTGTTGGTTGCTATGTGACATTAAAAGTTATGGTAATTATAAATATTGTGTTTGTATTTCTTTGTTGAGAGTGTTTGAATCTTGTTTAAGTAGCTGAATGTCTCATTCTAGTCTGGCAGCTACTCCAGTGTTGCAGGGTTGCAGATGACGATGGGCTCCTTGCTTCTGACTCCGGTACCTGCAGCTTCCCTGTGCAGAGGCTGAGCGATGACCCTGGACGGAATCCTCACCTTGGTCCAGTCGTGGGCGATGTACTGGTGGTACGGATCATGAGAGCTCTCCAGCTTCTTGGAGCGAATATAGCTGAGCATGATGCCGAAGGTGAAGAAGCTGAACATACCGACCACCAGGAGGATGTACATCATGCCCTCAGTCTGAGCGTGGGCCCGGGCTCCATCCACGTGGTGCACAGCTTGCTGGGTAGTGTAGTTCTGAGGTATTGGTGAAGACAGTACACTTGTGCTGTTGAGGCAGTGCTGCAGGAAGGAGAGCAGGAGCGACTGCAGCTCGGTGGTGTTGATGTGTGGCATGACTGACATCTGCTGGACACTCAGCTAACTGCAACTGAGGAGGAAGAGACTGTAAGAAAAAGTCTCAGGAAAGGTCAGCCTAGAATTAATTTTGTTTTTGTATTATTAACACAGTTTGTATTTTATTAATATTATATCTTAATATAGGTTTTATATTTAGACACAACAACAAAAAAAGATGGAGGGGCTAAGAGAGGTATAATAAGCAAGAATGAGACCTATATCTAACTGCGATTTTAAATAATTAGTTTAAAGTTTAATTAATTAATAATTAAACTCATTTATCCAGGAAATTAGGAGATATCAATTTAATGTGTATTTAGGGACACTTGTCATATGTTTAAATGATACCTCTGAAATGTGTTCTGACTACTACCCAACAAACTTCAGCTTGAATGCTGAATACACCTTTTTTGGTTGACCTTTCAGAGTTTGTTTTGGTGTTATGAGAGTGAATGTGAAATTGATTCCCACATATTATACCTATCATTATTCAAGCTTGTTTTTAGTAGAAAGAAAAGCCTACCTTTGAAGGATCTGGAATCAGTTCTTGCTGTCATTGGGCATCGGCAGACATCGATAATTTCAAGTCATGTGTCTCCAGCAGGATTAGAAGCAGCTAGTCCCATAGCTAAACATCGAATATAAACGTACACCTCCCACTTTTCTTAGTCATAATGTGCCCTCCTTCATGCTCATGCTTTTATGTGGAAGAGATATGCAGCATGTCCAACATGTCAACACATTTAATGAAATGAAGAGGTCACAGGGCAAGGTCAAAAGCTCAGTGTAGTTACGTTGTGGTGTTGCATGAATTAAATGGCTGTCCTATACTGGTGCAATCAGCTAAAATGAACAGTTTACTGTGGATGAGAATGTTCAGAGTTAGCATATTGTCTTTAGATCAGACCTCATTCAAGCAGTGTCATGAAAATCCTAAGAAAAATATGTTGAATTGGTTTTAACATATTTATGTTATGACTGCTTGTGGCAAAGTCTACACATTATTAACACATTAATAATTAACAAATATTCAAAATTGCTTGTAGATACAGTTTTGTACCTGCTGAGCAGACCATCATCTTTTGTAGCTCAAGACTGGTGTTGAAGCCCAGTTTGTGAATTGTGTATGTGGTTAGTTGTATTGTGTATTTAAAAATAAATAAATAAATAAAAAAACCCTCTAATGTTCACATTTTGCTGGAGGAGGAGTAGCGTGTGGTCATTTTCAGGACGGTGCCGGGCTGCAGCGGGAGAACAAAGCTGCTTTCAAACTGGAGGTAGTCTGGACAGTCTGCTGCAAAGCTCAGACTAGATTGAGTTACAACACAATCACCTCCAAATGTCCTTTAACTCTCTGTTGTAGTTGTGTGTGTTTTTGTATGTGTGTGTCTCTGTGTGTGCATGTTGCCTGAAACGTACAAATAAGTGATGTTTAAGAGAGAGATGTTTTTACTCATATTCTCTAGTGGGACTGGCAGAAACAGCAAAGGGCAAAATTCTGTCAAGAGATCAATGTATTTTCTCCAAAACATTATTAATTTCTCTAAATGAACATATTTTATAAAACACATTACACAGTATTTACACAAGAAATGTTGTGTCTCAACAGTGGATCATTGTCCAAGTTAATACTGATAAGATCATTAGTTTCTGTTTTTAAGTCATTGCCAACAAAGTAAATGCAGCAAGTGCAGTGGACATAAAAATTATATACAAAAATATTTAGTTTATGCAAGTTAATTTACTAATTTGGACAGATGTGGACTAGCACAAACATATAAATTTAGATTTACTAGAACAGTGTTGTTAAAGACATGCTGCTTAACAAACGCTTAAGCTTTGGGAGTGATGTCAATGTCATGATAAGTTTTCTCAGATACCTAGAAGGTCATGTTAATGAAACTGAAGAACTATCATTTGGTGTTTTAAAGACATGACGGTCAAAGTTCAGCACATAGAGACCTCATTTGTTACTTTGTTATTTTCAACTGATGGCAAAATTATTACAAAGACAGATTTCTCTGGCATGTAGTCAAAATAGAAGTAAAAGAGGACATTAGTTGCTACAAATGTTCTGGGTTATTAAGCCTTGCGTATTTACATGGTACACGCCTCAGTAATATTTACTTAATAAGTCAGTCATTTGAAAGAATAGAAAATTCATCACTGGCCAATTGGATAACGGATAAACTTTTTACTTTAAGTTGTTTGGACACATTACTTTATGCTCTGGTAAATTGACATTGTCATTTTTGACATTATTCAACAATAAGAATAACCATTCATTGGATTCCCTACACTGAAGGCCATTTGTTTTTAAAAAACCTTTAAAGGCGTTTTTTTCACAGATCCATCCAATAGTCTCATAGCACACCTTTGACATTGCATTTCACTGAAATCTAAAGGAAATCTGCCTATCAGCTTCTATTTGTACTTAACCATACAAGTTGCATTTATGACTTCGCAGACCAAGGCGTTTAAAAATCACCTTCTCATACAGTAATTGTGTCTTTGTTAGAAAAATACAGTAATGAAGCTTGACTCTTGCAGAGATGATCTTTTTTCACCTAGTGGATAAAAATGACAAATAAAAATACTATTTGAAAAAAATGCAAGGTAAAGAGAAAGACAGGTTTCATATGTGTCCTAAATCAGATATTGTGCAAGCCAGTAAATCTATATAATAGTGTCTTGAAAGCTAAACCTAACTCACCAGTAGTGTTACTCTAGCTGCACCCCGTCACAGTTGTCTTTTGATTCTATTAGTCTGGAAGTATAAAAAGAAAAGGTGAATTATTTAGATGTGAGAAACATCAGAGAGATAATCATAACAAATTCACAAAAACTTTTGTGACGTTATATTTATTTAAAGTTAAATAAATATAACGACACAAAAATAAAGATTACTTGTTTTCCTTGCTAAATCAAGCCAATTGTGGTGAAGACAACTTCGGAATTAACATCTCATAATTTGGTCACAAAGTATATTGTATTAAAATGGTTAAAGATTTAAAGATAAATCCAAAATTAATCACTTCAGTAAAACATCAACTCACTGTGCCTGAGCCTTGAGAGCTTTACGGGCCTCCCGAGCTTCGTGCTCCTCCGAAATCTTCTTATAACAGTAGACCATAACTATAATGAGCCACAGCTGCAGAACCACGATCAGCACGTACATCATTATCTCTGAGATCACCGCTGTCAGCTCCGGATTGGCTGGGAAAGAGGAACCAACAATGCTGCATTTTAGAGGAAACATGTCCACCAGGAGACACTGTGTTTTTCTGCAGACCCTCACAAACATAAAGTAAAGCTGCTTTAAAGTCAGAAATCATCTCATTGGATAAGACAAGCCTGAACATCGTTCAAGTTGACAAACAGGAAAATACTCTTGCTAATAATACATAGATCAGAGGAAAAATATGGATTACAGTAAAAAAAAATTTATAACTCCAATGACTGTGGTGATTCTCTGACTCTTCCTTATGGGCCACCAGTAGGTCAAAATTTTAACTTATCAGAGAAATGTCCCAATAATCTAGGCTACAAGAAAGATAGACCTAACAGGTTTTATTGATACTATGACATTTGGTGCAGACATTCATGGTCTTTGTGAACTATAACTATAACTTTTCATCCAGCACCACCATCAGGTCAAAATGTCAATTTGTTGAAAACTGTTAGGCTTTCTTTACAATGAGGATTACAGCCTCATAGAGCCGTTAGCATGGCTTTAGGCGCTATGTCTTGTTGTAAAGTCTAAAGATTCAGTGGACCACAGATAAAACAGTCAAGGCCATGAAGATTCGAGGAAATTGTCCTTGACAAGACACTGTCCACTGTGTCTTTCTTTTTGTAATTTCCTGCTCCTGGGAGACTGCTTGTTTGGACTGCAAGTGTGGCTCATTTGACCATGGACCTTTTTACCTGGCTTGTCATCTAACCTTAAGTAGAGGGTTCTTTGGATCCACATGCTGATTTTTTGGTGCAACTCATTCGATGGGATTTTCATACCTGAGAAACATTTGTTTAAATACATCTCCAAAACTGAGCCATGAGTCATGAGTGGTTGACGTGGAACCAAGGTCATATGGTTAGGTTTAATATAGTGGAATGACAAAATTGTTTTCAAAAATGGGCTGAAATGAGACAAAGCAAAGATGCCAAATAGAGGGAGAAGAAAACTGACAGCCAGTGGAGAAATGTAACTAAGTACTTTTACTACTTTTACTTTTTATTAAGATATGTACTGTACTTAAGTACAATTTTGCAGGTTTCCTACCCTGTTTTAGAGTGAAATGTTACTTTCCAGATTAACATTTTACGTACAAAAGAAAGGCTAGATTTATAGGATACAAAGCATTTTATACGGGAATGTTAAACCAGTGGATTCCAATATTTTTAGCTTGTGACCTATTACAAAAAAAGCAATGTCTTGCCCTGCCTTTTCACAGGTACACCCCCCTTACCTACAGCCACTACGCTGAGCTCCACCTCCTTCTCCACAGTTACATGCTCGTGATATTGCGACAGGAAGAGAGTGCGATGGACCGTGCAGCGGTACATTCCTGTGTCATTGAAGGTGACATTTTGAATGTAAATGGATCCTGTCTGAATATCGCTGTTTTGTGTCCCATGCCACTCCAGGCGGTCACTGAAATCTTCATGGAGGATGTCGGCACTGGGGTGCTCATAGTGGAAAATCTGAGAGAAGGTGGGTGGGGAAAGGGAAATCTATAAATATTCTATATTTACATTTCCTGCTCTAAATATACTCTTTAGTACTCTACTCTAACTTCTATTTATATATTGCCATAGGCCTAATACACATTTACTCTTTAGTAGTTCCAGTGTAACATCTTCTTCTAAAGCAGAAAACTACTACAAATGTTTATTCTTGTGTAAGTTTGTTGTAAAGATTAACTTTTCAAGTTAATGTAAAATGTTCTTGTGTTTATGATTGACTGCGGATGTTTCCCAAAAATGTTTAACAGCTGCTGTCCAGTTTCCAAAAGTTCATGGAGAGCTGACATAATACAAATGACAAATGTAGAGAAGTAAAAAAACAGAAGACAGTTAATGACTTTGAAAAAGTAAATAAGTAAAAAAAATAGGCCTGCTAAAATGTACTTCCATCTGTGGTACTATTCAGCTTGATGGCACAGTTTCAAAGTTGCTCCACAAGGCACATGGTAGTAGATGAGAGACCTTTTGCATTCACAAACCCAACCAGATTTCACAATTTGGTGAACTCACATGCATGAACTCCTCCTCTCCCAGCGGTTTGAAGTGCCAATCTACGGTGGCTTGGGCAGGGACCTCCTCTCTTATTTTACAGGAGATGCAGCCCAGCAGGAAACCTTCTCCTGCCACGGCTTCAGTCAGGGAGTCCACCTCCGCACAGCCACCATAGCACTGAGACACTGCATGAAAAAAGAGGGAAGCAAAGAAGAAGAACATAAAGAAGCAAGTTTATTTGTATTGCACCTTTCAACAACAAAGCAATACGGCAATTTGACTTTTTAATGAATGTTTCTGATTTTGATTTCAATATTTCCAGCTGGTCCTATTTGTCGCAACCCTCCAGCTCAGAAGGCTTTTAATGAGTGTATTGTTGTTTTTATTTCTTGTCCTGTGTGAACTTACTGGAGTTTCCTCTTTGGTGATTAATGAAGCTTTCTAATCTAAAGTAATTCAAAGTTCTTTATACAAACACAGCAAAATAAAAAGACACATATAAACAGGATTTCAATAAAATCACATAAAATAGACAATACAAACAAAAAAGTTAACAACATAAATATTACAATGCAATTACAGTGAGTTACAATTTTGGTAATTCAAGATATTTTAAAGATATTTAAAATATGTTTTGGATAAGTTTTCTGTAAGATAATATTTCATGACTCAGAGTAAGAACAGCTTCCCTTTTCTCCGATGAAATGTCTACTGGATGGCTGCTGATTTTCTGAGTTTTATTCAACACCTAAAAATGTATATTCAAGAACATGTTAATGTGAAGTCTGATAATGAGACCCTTTTTTAGTGCTTTATGAATGGCAGGTGCAGCTGGAAATATCAATCTATTAGGAATGTTGAAGTCCAATAGAATAAAGAATAAAACTATTATTATACTATTACTATTATATTATTATAGATTCACTTATTTATTACTCAAATATAAGAGTTTTTTACTATTAATTTATTTCATAACCATTTTTGTTATATCTTTTTTAATTCTCTTTAATCCCAACAGGAATCAATAAATCAAATGCATTGAGAACCTATGCCCTCATTGCACATGAAAATGTGTTTTGGGGGAGTGGCTTTGGAGGGAGGGGTGGGATTTTTTCGTTAGATACTTTCAAAAGTAAGCTGTCTCTTGCTAGCTTTTCAGTTGTTACCTACCCTAGCTTAAATTTACAGTGAATGGATGGTGATGTAACCAATGTTTTAAGGGTTTTAATAAATATGCACGTCACTTAGTTTATGATCTATTGATGGTCTCTCTTTCAGTGATTACATTTTAGCCCCCCTCTTTTTTCATCCATCCATCCATCATCAACCACTTATCCTGCATACAGGGTCGCAGGGGGGCTGGAGCCAATCCCAGCTGACTTTGGGCGAAAGGCGGGGTACACCCTGGACAGGTCGCCAGTCCATCTCAGGGCCACACATAGACACACAACCACTCACACTCACATCCACACCTAAGGACAATTTCGGAGACACAAATTAACCTAGCCTGCATGTCTTGGCGGGAGGAAGCCGGAGCACCTGGAGAGAACCCACGAGGACACGGGGTGAACATGCAAACTCCACACACAGAAAGGCCGGGGCAACCGGGGTTTGAACCCACGACCTTCTTGCTGTGAAAACCCACGCCGCCCACCCCCTCTTTCTTTTTTATGAAAAAGCTCTGAGGACCCTGAAATCAAAGAAATTCAGTTCACTTAAAGAACTCACTTTGAACTGTGCAACTTTAACCACCAACATCAATAGTTAATTAAAGCTAAGGACACAAATGACTGAATGAATTTTTGACTTACCGAAAAGACTGCAGATAACTAAAAAAGACAAATGGCATATCATTTCTGCTGGAGCAACGACCAGCCCTTGAACAAACTATTGGAACTTTCCTTGACGTAAACCTGCGTAGAAGTTTCTGTGGCAATTAAAATTAGATCACTGACATAAAGCCTCTTGATTCCTGATTAATCCCATGTCCTTGCATGTCACGTAGGCCAAAAAAGTGACTGAAAGCCTTAGAATACAGAAAGTGTTGACTAAAAAGACGTGAGTGAGTTTCTTCGCAGTAGTTTGCAGTCCCATCTGACTTCAAGGCAGCTATATTTAGAGCTTGTGAATCCAGGAGAGCTGGACGTTGTGAGTGTTGAAAGCCAGCAGGAAACCTGAGATGATGAGACCTGATCCATAACTACACAGCATGACTGTCTAAAGCAAGACTATAGCCCTGTTTCCTCTGGGAAAGTTTCTGTCATCCTAAAGATTTTCTATGCAGGCTTTGGGAATTACATTTTCTTTCATATTTTCTTACATATCATCGTTGCCACCGTTGAGTATATCATTGTCTGTCATCTGTGTTACAGTAGCTAAGTATGTAGCTGGCCATTTGTGCACTTTCCCAAGAGATGGTACACAACAGAAACATGCTAGTAAGCAAAATGACAGATATTTCAGATGAATTGAATGGTGATAAACATGGCTAAGTCCATTTCAAATCTTCATGAAGCTTATGTGTTTGTGTGTCTTTCATTTCAAAGTGTCCTTGGGATGTCTGATGTCTTTTCAGCCTTGCTTTGTGAACCACAGATCTACAAGATAATACAGCCTGAATTCCTGGGGTTCTCTTTAAGATTTCAATATCACTCTTCCCACATGAAATGGAAATTATACTTTCACCTCAAAGTTTATTGTACTCTCACATGCTTTCATACTGATCTGTGTTGTAGAGCTTGCTGTTTCATGGGTGGGCACTGTCTGTCCTTCAGCTGAAACACGGGATGATTCTTAAGAAGACAGAACAATACTTTGATTTCTCTATCTTTGTGTGAAACTGTCATTGTCGGGTGACTGCAAAAAAATGCAGAATGTTCAGTTCAAAATAGATACAACTATGAAAAGACAATTGTGCAGTTGGAGAGCAGCGTTCTATCAATTAAACTGTTTCCAAGAGATAGGCCTACAAATTTTATATGATGCATTAGACTGTATGAAATACCACCAATGATTTCTATATTGCAAATGTATGGTTTATATGGCAATAAATCTCTGAAAGAGCTGTTTTGGGTGAATTTCACTTTATTTTAGAAAATTCCCATGACAGCTATTTTTTTCTTTTTAAGAGATCTTTTAAACCGAAGATTGAGTTTACAATGAAACAAGGGCTTCACTTTGTTTGAAAAGTGGTGGGGACATAAGAGCTCAGATTAGGGGTGTGATGATACACAAAAACAAGACGAGAAGATTTTTAACACTATTTTGAAGAAATATGAATTGTTGTAATTGTAATATTTATTTATTAGGATCCCCATTAGCTGTAGCCGAAACTACAGCTATTCTTCGTGGGGTCCACACAGACACCAAATCTATACAGTGTAGTACAAAATTACAATATGAGGTCTGGGGGTCATCCCCCCCCCAAATTTTGGAGCATTAAACAATAATATTCTGCATTCTGGAGACATTTTTTGCTCCAATTTATGGAATTTATGAAATGACTTTATTTATATAAAGGGAAACAAAATATTCAGCTGGCAGGTGACAATTCATAAATATAAAAATATAACAGAATATAATGCAGTAATCAGCAGGTTGTTTTATTTATATACACTGCACATTTGTGTCTTCTATATTTAAATTGCATTGCAATTTCCATATTGTGCAAATAATTTCTATAGTAAAATTAATATTTCTTGGTGCTAGCAATTTTTCAGAAGAATTTTTAAAAAACGCTTTCAAAAAGTGATGGGGAAAAAATCAGCCATTTCAGAATGTGGTGTGGACATGTCCCCAGCGTTCGCAGTGTAAATGACACTAATGCATTGAAAACTTTAGTTTAAAATACAATATGTGCTAGGGATAGTTTATGTATTGAACAGTATGCATGAGCTAAGCACATTCCATTTGTCCTATAATAACATATTTGATGTTAAACAGGCTATGACATGTTTCATTGACTTAAAGATGTTGAAATGTTCTCCTTGATTGTGCCTAATTGAACAAAACTTCAGTTCTTCTGTTTCTGCGTCTGTTTCTTGCTCTTTCTTTTTAGCCACCACAATCATATTGTTGCTGCGAACTATATTCAATAATTGTTTTAATAAATCATTTACTCACTCATTTCACAAACCTCTGTCTTGTTCATTTACTAACATTTTGTAAATTTTGTAACTGTAGTATATAGTTTCTCTTCTTATCAGTTTGGATGTCTGATGTCTGCCGAGGGTCGGACAGTCTGTCAGTGCCAGTTGGCCAGTCAGAAAAACAAGGCCACTGAAGTCAAGGCTGACAAAACATTCAGACATTGACTGAAGGCCTCAGCTTGCGTGCTAACTACAGTGATTCACGTGGTTGGTACAGCCATTTGTTGACATGTGGTGGTTGTTCTTTTTTTCCTTTTTAAAGGTGAATGCCTCGTCACATGGAAAGTCAAAATTATATCCAGTCTGAGGCCATACAAATACTTTCAAAAATTGTAATATTAAAAAAAGATGTACAGGGGTAGGACGCTGTATTTTGCCAGCCAGGCTGTGTGTGTTTGCGTATATTGGTTGGAGGTCGGGATGTTGCCGTGTGTAACCAGATGACACAGTGAAGCACTAAGCTCTTGATAAGGGTCCGTGCCTCTTTTAACCTTGTGGTAACCTATGAATGATAATGACAATAAAAATCTGTGAGAGCAATCTTGGAAATTACATGCATGTGACCAAGAGAGGGAGAGAGCAAGACCTTGAGGTTGGCACACACATGTGGGGAAACTTCAAGGAAATGTTGACATACAATAGTGTGTGTGTGTGCGTGTGTGTGTGTGTGTACTGTGTATGTGTGTTGTGTATATGGGGGTGGGCAGCACCTCTGTGACCCTACACACGCATACACACAGTAAGGGACACACCTCCTTTCTCGCTATGCTGGTGATGTTTTTTTTATTTTTAGCACAGATCGAGTTTCCAGTCCCCGAATCAGCAACCAGAGGTGCTCAGCAACACAGCTCTCTGTATCCTGGAGCAGTTTCTTGCTCGGGCTGCATTTGCAACACAGACATCGGTCGCTCTGTTTTGAAGAGGAGCTGTTTAAGCGTTGCAGGAGGTGGCCACGGGGAGTGAGAAGACAGATGATGCCCGGTAAACCTATGGAGAATTTGAAATTGCCTAGTCATTGTGATGCTCTGCCATCGATTTGAAAGGATACAGAAGCAACTGTTTGCTGAAGATCAAATCTGAAAGGCAGGTAAAGGCAAATTCATTAAAACAAAAGATGTGCACATTTCCAGGATATATGCTGGTAAATATAGTAGGTCCCTTAACAAAAAAACTGCTTGAAATGATGTAACTTTGTTTCTATCAGGGCAGGGGATTTCTCTGTTTAACAGCTTCTAAAGTGGTTTTCTTTTCTAATATCATGGAAATAAACCACGATGGGGAGCGGGCATTAGAAATTAGATAAAGTTCAAGTGGTAGCTTACTTCCAGTGCCATACATTAAAACTATTCGGTTCTTTTGAATCCACAATAGCTGAAATCATTAATCATTTAATCAGTTAGCTGATCAACACTTATGTGAGTGGTATCTATTTTGATAATCCAATCATTAGCCTATTTAAGTTTCTTTACAAGCAGAACTGGTAAACATCTGCTTGTTCTCGCCTCTCAGTTGTAAACTTAATATTTTTGGACTTTAGGAAACAGTGATGGACATTTTTCACCATTTACGCCAATAATTTCTTGATTAATAATGAAAATAATTTAAAAATGAATCAATAATGAAAAGAATCATTAATTACAGCCCCTAAATCAACAGCATTTCAGTTTCTGTGTTTAATAAACGAGTACATTTTGAACCCATGTCCATCATAAAATCTCTGCGTTCAGGCACCATCTTAACTCAAAGTGTCTTGTCAATTTATTTCCTTTTGTTTTCAGCTTCAGACAAGGTGACCAGTTATTGGCCCTGTTTACAGTAGGTTATGTGTGGTGGAGGAGAAGATATCCAATATCCAGTACAGGCTGCATCCTACCCATAGATCATGAGACCATATGAAGCGATGCTGCAGGAGGCAAGGGGTGAGATGAACGCATACACACTCTGCCACACTACTTTTCCTTACACAGTGTTATAGAAATTTAGTGAGGTACAAGATGAGGCATTTTAACCTACTTATCAGGTTACAAATAATGAATGCAGTGCACACAACCTCGTTAGACACAAGGGGTCGCAATGTGTTTGCCCATTAATTTTGCTCACATAACAGCTCCCTTCAAATTAACTCTGAAATTGTGCTAAAACTGTGGATCTACCATGGATGTTTTATATGATTTGTATCCTGCTTGTTGCTCATGGTGTACTGAGAAAAGCTGTTGTGGTCACTTCACGTTTATGCGAAAAAAAAAATAAAATCCCTGTCGACTGCTGAAAACATTGTTTTTCTTCGCAATAAATCAACTCAACTGTAACAGTTGGCTCAATTTGTGCATGTAAAGATTTGTTTTAAATTAGTAAACAGATTAGGATATATAGTCGATTGAGGATAAAACTAACAAACACTCGTCTGCTTCTCACGCCACATCCTCTGGACAGTTATTTTCCTGGATTATACCACAAAGTTTTCAGAGGGGTGTTCGTCGTATTTTGCCGGTGGTTGTTTGTATTTGACTGCATAATAATTTAAGTTATTTATAATTTCTAGATTAATGTGAGTTATTAAACGGTTGGCTGATTTATTTCGTATTAGAAACACGTCGAAGGGGTCATACTTCTTTTTCTTGACGAGACTTCTCGTAACCCCCAACGTAGGGAACGTAGGCTCAATCCCCCGGCTGACTGACTTTGTTCCTTTTCACTTTTGGCAATATAACCTATTATGTGTTACTTCAAAACGAAGTTAGTTACGCTCCTAATGCTAAGCTAACTTTGGTTGTTAGCTTTACATTTCATTTGATAACAGTGTTTTATACCAGGGTGCTTTTAAAGTGAAAATGGAAGACGTCGGCATAGTACTTTCTCTGCTGGAAATTAAAGCCTGCTAGCCAGATAGTCATCTTTTTTGTGAGTAGTTGGCCTTCAGAGGTTGGACTCCGGGGTAACGTTAACCTTAGCTAAACTTGGTTGTCTTTAGCTTTAGCTGGCTAAAGACTAACTGTTCGCTGCAGCCGGCAGATGCTTCTTTACGCACCTAAGGATGTTGATGTGTTCCTGTGAAAAAGTGGATTTTAACATTACTCCCCGCACCGTCGCTCGGCTTGTTTTCGAGGCCGAGCAAGATAACAGAAATGGAGGAAACTCATCTAATGGAAGGTAGGAGTTCAACATTAAGTCTTCCAGGCTGCACAGTTTTTTTTAGTGCCATATAATTAAACCTCACCCGATTTCTTTCCTCATACCCCTTTTGTCCTTCGGTGTTTAATTGCACACATCATGTGAACAGATATCAGTGGCTGGCGGTGTTTCACATAAGTGCAGACCGTACAAGTGTTGAGTTTCTTAAGCCGAAATGAGCAGCAACAATGTTGAGCAACGAATTTGATATCGCAGGATCAGCTGTTCCTGTCCACTTGCTTCACGCTGCAGAAACATGTATTTGCTTGCGTGCACCGTAGTGTTCTGCATCTGCAATGGTCGTGGTCGGCGTGTAGTGTGCACAATCAACAGCTTGATCTGGCCTGAGTTTTAAGGCAGAAAGATCAGGCTTGCGTGGACCAAAGAGTGAAGGCTGCACGGGGGATTATGGTGGATTACTTTGGACAAACAAGTCCGTGCCAAGATTGTTCTTGTTCAAACAGATCACAGCAAATACTGTCCGACATGCTTGGGCCCTTGTCTTGGAAGTGCCTGCTGTGAAGGCAAACAATGGAGTGACACACACACACACACACACACACACACACACACACACATACACACAACCCTTCCCTGTCTGAGGACAAGCAGTATGTTGTCATGTAGTTGTGACCTTGGTAGCCTGTAGTGGCATTTAGACCTTGTTATTGGCTGTATGAGCTGTGTATTTTCAAAGGGTGTTTATGTCTGCTTCAGTGTCTGGAAGTTTCTGTGGTGAGTTTGTCTGTTTTGTTGGAAATGCTGTCATCAAAAAGAGCTGCTTTTTTTTGTCCAGAGACTGGTCTTGGAGTGGATGAAATTTCTCGTGGTGTCTGTTACTGTCTACTGATAAACGCAAATTGACTGGTGTCTGTCAGTGCCATGTTCATCCAGTGTTGGCTATTTCTGAGTTGCTTGAAGGGAGAACATTAACAATGAATAATGCTGCTTAAATAATTAAAACAATTCTCCAAACCTGGGCAAAAATAATGCACATAACATAAACTACCACCCCGTAAATAAATCCTATTGATTGGCCTTCTAACGGGAACATGTCATCATTGTCATAGGATACCTCATATTCCCAGAACTGGCAGAGGAGACAGTATCAAAGTCCAGACGCGAATAGTCGTAGTCTCGCAATCATTTGTTTTCGTGGTAAAGTTTCATTCATATTTTCAAGAAAACATTTTAGAAGATTGATAGTCAGAGATAGGACAGCCTTTTGAATGCAAAGTTTCTGCTCTTTTCACTCCTTAGGTATAGATACTTCCAGACACAGGTCTGTCTTTGTCTGAGCCTTCAACTCTCTCAGACGAAGATGAGCCTGACAATGCAAATATAAGCTTGAAGTCTGTCAAAAGGAGGAGAATGGCGTGCTGAAGAAAAAAAGTAAACACCGGACAGTGCAAGAGGTGCAGAGAAGGAAGCGGTGAGGCACAGGAGCTAAACACAGAAGAGGGATGTTCGGACATTTCAGTCACTCTTTGCCAATATATACAGACTGAAAGACTGGAAAAGGATTGCCTAAAGAACACTGATTAAGAAGGCATGTGAAATTGTCTGAAAAGCCTCCTCCCAGCTTCCTGCTGGATCATTTGTGACCGTAAGGGAACACCCACACCACCGTTTTTACCACATATGGGGAAATTTACTTAACTGATTTGAAGACATTTCCTTAAGTTCACAGGCAATGTGGAGAACACCGAATCCTCTTTGTAATTATAGCTAGTGTTACTTTCTATGTTGATTTATCCAGAGGAAGTACTTGATGTGTTAACCCATCCTGTTTCTAAAAATGCAAGCATGACTGGAACATCTTGGTCAATCATGGGTCAGCCTCAACTCTAAAGATGCAACAAGCTCTTGTTGGTGAACTTGACTGAAAGAGAAAACTAACCCTGGAATGCTCTGAAGATGACTATGTCCTCTCCTGTGGGACCAGATGCTATTACTCTGGCTCAGCCCATCCCCGTCCCCACGCTGACTGTCCTGCCACCATCCTCAGATACCGAGTCCTGGTCTCGGTCACCTAGCCCCAGACCGTTGCGTTCCAGCCGCCATGGTCGATTCCACCGCAGCAGGACCCGAACTAAGAAACGAAACGAGGACGAGCAAGGCTGCACTCCTAAGCGACAATGGGGTAAGAAAACGCAAATTGTAATAGAGGAGACTGCAGAGAAGGGCACCATTCAAAATCGAAGCTCCTCGCCCTCCCCCTCTGTGGCCAGTCAGATGGAGGGGGAAGAGCAAGGTCAGGACAGCCCTTCACAGGACCTCCTCCTGCCACCGTCTCGCTCCTGGTCTCGTAGTCCCTCTCCTAGCCGGCGATCCCGTTGGTCCCTCAGGAGCCTGCTCAGCAGAGACTCTGACTGGGAGAGCTGCAGGTTAGTGTGCTGGCAGCATTTGTTTACACTCTCATGACCAGAGGCTGAAAGTTATTATTATGCAAGTATCTGTACGTATACAAGGAATTTGACTCTGGTTTTTCATTACTCTGTTACATTTATCCATAAACTGCTTTCACGAAGATGGCAACAAAGTTGAACAAAACAGGTAAAAATAAACCCCTTAATTCATTCAGTCAACAGTTCTGTCTTCGAGAATGGGCTCACTTATCTTACAGCAGCACCACATAGGGTTCAGTGGCTTAGAACAGAGCGTCAGCACTCTGTTTGACTCCCTCAGGAGTATTCTACGTTTATAGCTCTGTAAAACCTCAGACAATTTGCATTCAGGCCTTCTGAGAGCAGATTTGCCTGCAATGATTGACTGGAGTGAGTAGCCTCTCATTTGTGCATGTTGGTGGGGGGAAAATAAAGTCTTACATCTGACAGATTTACGCTTGGTCGACTTTTCTCTAACGTCCCAAGAGGTTAACTATTTTAGAACAGGGTGTGGTTAATTAGCTAATGACTAAAACTGAGGACAGATTACACACTGTTAAAATCCTAATTAAGTTGAGTTGATTCATGGTACGCTGCTATGACGTCAGACAAAACAATCAGGCCAACACTCACATTGTAGAATTTCAGTGATGAAGCAAGCCCTTGCTATTTAAAACCAAGAAAACATACTAGACACATGACCTTAAATGGATTGGTATTTTAAAATTATAGTATAACCCTTAAGGAAAGATTACCTCTTTTTTTAATAAGCGAAACTGAAAGGTTATGTAAACTGTAAACAAAGAAAGTGAGACTGCTCTTGTGGTAGCAAGCAAAAACAAAGCTGGGTCGGTCATAAGGAGCTAGAGGCGGGGTCCATGCGCCATTTATCCTTCCGTCGAAGCATGACATCACCTTCAGCCAATGGGAGTGGACTCTCAGTCTGATGATGTCATGTGAGTCCAATCAGAGGAGGTTCTGGGCACCACTGCAGTGGACTACAGAGGGCAAGCAGAGGGTGATTCTCTCCTGTGCTCCATATAAACAGCTGTGCCCTTGTCCTCTTCATCTAAACATCATTTTATTGACCCAGTTATATTGTTTTGCAGGATATCAATGAAACGTAATATCCACACGATCTTGGGTAAATCCTAACACACATACAGGTTTTCAGAGTAATGCTCCAGCACACATATGTCTAGTTATGTAAACCATAATTCAGAGAAGCCATAAAAGAAAGCAATAACCCGATTCACACTTGGCACTAAAATTTATCTTTGGTTATCCAATCCTGGGTTTTCAGCTCAATTCAGAGCGAAAACACCCTGAGGAAGCCTTATTGCTCAAAAAACATTTGGACTCTTCTCACCAGATATACAGTGTACTTACCTACAGAAATCTAATGCAGCAGGCAGCTCACAGTCTATGACCATGTTTAAGTATGTTTGATATTGAAGGAGCAGGATTTATGGTAGAGAGGGAGGAGTCCTGCCAATTTGTGCTATATAGTCTTTGTGATCCTGTAATAATTCTTTGGTTACCACATAGTAAATGTATTATATATTATAATACTATTATAATATTATAGAAGTACTAGAACTACTAGACTAAAGGCCCATGTTAACCTATTCAGACTAAAAATGCAGGTTTGTCCCATATTATGGTGTTGGTCTGAAAGGTGTTTAAGCTTGCTATAAAGGCTCCTTAGACAGGCACAACAAACTACTTGTGTCTATGTCTTCATCCAGTGTTGGCGTCCAGTCAGTGGACACAACTCAAGGGAGATGTTTTCAGTGATTGTTTTCAGAAAGGACACCAAGTGGTCCAAGTTGCTAAGCTTGTGTGGCTGTAGCTCTTACATAAATGATGAATTATTTCCTGCGTTTTTAGTCATGTCTTGTGTGTCAGTTTCCACCTAAGGCAATTGAGGACAACTCATTTTATTCTATAAAAATATCCATCCTTGCAAGAACTGACATGTCTACTAGCGTGATTACTTTCAGTAGAAGGCAACTGATGAAAATAAATTGATAGCTGTTACCAAAGCTGGGAACTCGAAACAGCTAACAGGTTAGTATCTTTGTGTTCTTGTGGGGGCTAAATCTATAAAAGTGCTCCACTATATTGATGTCTTGATTGTTTTTTATATAGAACACTGGTCAATAAAGGCGTACCTGCATTTGATGGATTATTCAGTTTCTAGATTTGCTCACTGCACTATATAAGTTTCTAGCGTTTGAATGTCGGAGTTGCAATCTAAATGTCTGTCACCAGATTTGCAAATGTAAAGCTGCCATGACTTGCTTTGGACCAATGCATTTTCTACAGTACAGCTGAAAGGATAATTCTGCCTTGCACAGAGACCTTGTTCTACTGATGTAAACATATTGTTAAATTGTCGTAATGGCAGCTTATCACGTTTGGCTTTACAAATATGCCGAAGGGACATGCACTTTTCAGATGCCTTGTTTGAAGTGGCCCAGGCCACAATGACTTGTTATTGAAGACAAACTCCCCCTTCCACCTTTTTATATACAGGGCAATCAATGCAACTGTGTAATCAATCTGTATAATGTGTATACGCGTTCAGTGCAAATGTACACACACATTGTCAAAAACACCTGACTTAGCCTAGGTAAGGTTGTCAGTTTTTCAGAGACAGAATGTAACTTAAAATGACGTATTTGCAAAAGACGTTTACCATAGCCAGATAAACCACACAGTGACCTCCGGAATGATTGTGTTTGATTATAATTGTGACTTCTCTTTATGTTTCTGCCATACCGTATCAGTGCAGCTTTGTGACTTTTCCTAGTTCAGAGTTTTCAGTTGGTGTGTTCACATTCTATCAGATTAATCCACTTTTGACACTAACCTAGTTTCAGACTTTCTTCTAGGTTTCTTTCATGTTGGCACACCGCCAGCACAATGAACCCATTTGAACCTATTTTTGGTGATCCGCTTCTATAGTCTTAGTTTTTGTATTATTGATAGTGTGCACCATGTGTATTCCAGAAGCTATACAATCTCCTAACTAGCCTAAAGACATTGATCTGTACTCTCAGAAGTTCACACAAATGTCTAGTTATGTAAACCATAATTCAGAGAAGCCTGCTCTCATTTCTCTTGCCCTGTTGCAGTAAGATATTTTTCTATAGGCAGGAAGGAAACGAATGTAGTATGTTTACATTGTGTACTGTATACCCACATCCTGTAAAAATGGTTTGGCTTTTCTTCTAAGCTGCATTGCGTCTTGTTTCTTTCCCCTTACTCAATGTCTACCCGGCCACCGTGAAACTAACAGTATTATAGGCCACTGGACCTCGGAAAAGCAGATTACACAGAGAAGACAGAATGGTGGAGATGTGGGCCTGGCTCAGCCCAGTGTGGATTATGATGTGGACTAATCCAGAGGAATGGACAGAGAGATTGAGGGTTAAGGGATTTTGTGGGCTGTGGGCTTTGGCCAGGTGGATTCACTACAGGCAGTCATGGTCTCTGTATACAATTCTGGTCATGTTTAAGCTTTTGTATATGATGCTATGCTCAAGGGCCTCCATCTGATAATGTCAAGATATTCATCACACAAAAAAACAACCTAACTTATTTTCTTGATTTGGTCTATAAAATGACTGAAATTTGAAAGAAAGTGCCCATGACAGTTCCCAGAGGCCAAGGTGAAACTGCTTGTTTTATCCAACCAACAGTCCAAAATCCAAAGAGGTTCAGTTTCTTATCACAGTGGACTAAGAAGTCCAGCAAATATTCACATTTGAGAACTTCGAACTGTTTCACCGTTTTGGCACCTTTGCTTAAAATTGACACACACATCATTCATCAATTATCAACATAGTTGATTAAACCACTAATCATTTAATTATGAGGAGGATTATCCATAATATAAAACACATTGTACCTGTTGTGTTGCTTTGTCTTGCTGGAAATGCTACAGATCCCCACAAATGAATGCTGAAGCTTGTTTTGAGCATGTTTAGTTAATAAATAGAGGAAGCATGTAGAGGCTACACATGTGGAAAAAGATAACGGTGTTAGTGCATGTTACTGCTACCTGCTGTCTGAGGTACTGGTCCCTCTGAATTCGGCATAAAACCTCCTCAGTGAAGCACCATCTCACTGTGGGGGGGAACAAGGCCTCACTGAACACATGGAGCCGCCTCCCTCCCTCCCTCCCCCCACCCTCTCGCTCGTTGCAAAGGGGATTACGGATGGACTCAGAGACTGCAAGCCCGTTAACGGGTCCGGTAAGCGGCACAGGGAGAAGCGGTCCGTCGGGTACCTGGGTGTGAGGTGCAGGGGGTCGACCACGATGGGAAATTAACATCCGACCGCGGGACGGTGGACGATGGGCGCATTTCTACCCCGAAGAAAAGAAGGCGGAATAGCTGAAATAACACCCCTGTAGCGCTTGGCTTGCTTTCGCTGTACACAGACACACACCAGGAACGCCGGTGCCATATTGATACAATAGTGAGCTGCAACGTGTTTTAGTGGATATCAGCTGGATCGCAAACGCCTCATGACATGTTCGAGTAAGTGATATGAAGACGGTCTCATCTGGTGTGATGAATACTGGTGATCTGTCTTTGCTCCTCGCTGTCGCACGTTTGGTGTGGTTTTATGAGTCACAGCATGCAAATCTCACTAGTAACACGGGTGGAGAGGCACAGTTTGTGTAAAAGCACAGCCGCAGTCTGATATTAGCTGTATTAAACTGATAGCTAGCTATGTGTTTATGTGCGTCCTGTCGGCGCCCCTCGGCCACACTGTCTGACTGGAGTCCCCCACCCACCATCCATCTCTCTTCCCCTGACCATATCAGCCTCCATCCTTTTACAATCCAGTGCTTCCTAACTGAAACGAGTTGTGTTTATTCCTCCCGACGACTCGTGTTTGACTTTGTCTCGTTTCGTGGTGTTTGTCCTGTTGTGGCGTTGCTGCACTGGGTAGTTTTTGGGTAGCCGGTGCTAGCTGCCCATTACTAGCTGCTCTGTGTCAGCTTTAGGTAATGTGTGAGGATATTAAGGTTAACTGCACCAGAGAGACAGCTAGAGGTTTATGTCGAACATTCTGGCAATGCTGCCGATTAGCCTTGTACATTTGTTTGGATGAAGGATTTAGCCCAGGTATGTAAACACATGCTGACACAGTTTCACATCAAGGTCCTGATCACACTCACACTGTCTGACCGCATAAAGGCTGTTCAAAGCGGCCGCTGGTCTTATGTGGGTTTACTTCAGTTAATGCTACTTGTCAATAGACGTGAGGTTCACGGATGGACCCCCAGCTGCACTGCTCCTTGTCCCAGCCATCAGTGGCCTTGCCTTGGGAATCATTTTTGTCTCATCCCTTTTCCTCTGGAACGCCACTGAGAACTGCAGCCACCTCGGCAGGGTCCTAGCTGTACATTTTCAACCCTTTTTCTTTAAGTGTTGAAAAATGCTTTTCAAGATAGACCTGGCAAAGAGGAAAGCATGAAAAACATAGACCAAGACAACTGCCACACATCAAATACAGTATAGAGAATATTCTGTTTTCAAAGCGTCTCAAAAAAAGTAATAACTAATTTAGGAGCAAATGCTTTCAGCTGTATATTGTTCCAGAAGAAAGAGGCAGCATATTTAAAAGCTTTGTTGTTGGGCTATTTCTTTTGCCTTGATGTGCAACTGTGGCAGAAGAAGTTCCCTTCGGGGATCAATAAAGTATTTCTGATTTGAAATGGAAAGAGAGTTTGATGGAAGGAAAAAGGAATTCATTGTCAATAATGTGGCAAATTGTCCGAGGGATACGCCAGTTGCACCATAAATTAGGAGGAGAGACTGTACAGCAAGGCACTTAAGCAGAAACATCTGATTCATGGTGTCTGCTCAGGATTATGAAATGGACAGTGACGCATAGCTGTGCGTGCTTGAAAAACAGCAGCTAAGTTTGCTAATGGTGAATGTGGTTGTTTTTACTTACAGACGAATGAGGTGCAGCCATGGAAACTGATATGGTGTAAATTCAGCTATTTTCATAAGTCGCTGCACATATGTTGGCAGAAGTAGGATCACACTGAAGTGTATAGTGTGTGTGTGTGTGTATATATAAAATGTAAAATCATGAATCAAGTGTTGTCTTGAAATTGCATAGTGTAAAAAGATTTCTGTCAATTGTCTCTGTATCTCTGTCTTTACTCAAGTTCACCTGAAGGAAAACTAATTGAAAACAGCACAAACTCTCTGAAGCTCTGACTTGGTAGTGTTTTATTCTAAAGGAAACCGAGTTCTGTGTTTTGTAGTTAAACTTTTGGATTGGATAGTCTTAACACCCATTATTGAACGGCTTTAAAAATACCCTCACCATTTGGCTGCTGTCCAGCTGATAACACTTGCCTAATATGGCCTTTATCTAGTCTTCATTAGGCAATTTTAGATGGCATGATATTATCAAATAGTAAATGCCTGCAGCCTTTATTCATAGCATGACATTAGGCATTACAGGGCAAAATTTAGCAATGAAAGAGTTTGCTCTGTTCACATCTGAGCTAAATTTGTATCTGTCTTTTTTTGTCTCCAGTACGGCCAGTAACTCTCCACGCAGCACCCCCGGCAGCTCTCCCTCCCTGCGGCGCAGGGTCCTTGGGGGTGGCAGGGCCAGTGAGATCGAGGGAGGAGGAGAGAAGACCAGTGGTGGAGGAGGAGGTTCAGATAGCCCCCTGCCCTCCATACCTTCTGCTTCCTCCCTCACATCCGCCTACCCTCTTGCTTCTCGCCACTTCAGCCGCAATGCCAAGGTAACTCTGATTATCCACTTATCAAGGTCATCGTTACAGATGGGTGCTAAGCTTGAATGCTTAAACTACTGCTCCCCAAGAGGTCTGTAGATATGAAGACATGGAGAGATGAGGCTAAAGGCAAGAACTTAATATCAGGGATCCAGTTCAGACAAGGTATTGATATGTAAACTTTATGCAAGTAAAAGACTACAATCTTGTAGCGTGTCCTTATCAAGATAAAAGTTTCATGATTACTTTATAGAGTGTGATGTAAAACAGCATATAATAATAAGCAAGCAAACCATTGTGCACCATTCTGGCAAGACTTATCTAGGGTTGTGCAGAGGTGTGTCCGTGTTTATTTATGCTTTAGAACGTAACTGCCTGAAAATACTATTTGTCTCTGATTCACTGCTTTCTTCTTAACTTTCTACTAACTTTGCTCCTTCGCCTTCATTCGCTCTCTAGCTCACTCAAGAAGGGAAGGGACTAACTTTGAATTGCGTGTTTACAATCCTACTCATTCTGCCTTTTTTAAAGACCAAAAATATTTCTGGGTGGGAAAATGGCATTCCACTTTCATGCTAGTGAATTCTCATCTACACCAGATATCCTGCAGTGAATGTAAATGTTTGATTTAGCCGTGTGAGCTATTATAATGTTAACTGTTTCTGTAATTTTGTGTGACAGGCTCACAACAGCTTGTTAAACTATTGACTGTTCATTTCAGCTGGGTAGTGAAACGTACCTTTTAAAATGGAGAAGTGGTGATTGTTCTGACGCCCTAAGGTTACATAAAACAGGCTTAGCCTAGGGAATAGACTGGCAGAATCACATGCACTCAAATATCAAAGTGGGTTACTTCAACAACACTATGTATGCTGATAGATTTTTCGTACCTGTATAAAATCAGTTTGTACTGTAAAGTCTTTATTGTTGCAGATCATTTTGAGTACTGCTCACTACTAAATAATATTCTTTTCTTTACAGAAAATGCAGAGCTGGTACAATGTAAGTACAGTAACATGCATTCGAGGGTGCTTGATTTTCCAGATGCTTTTCTGATTTTCCTTCCAGACAGGTGGAACTAGTTGTTACAGTAAAATGCTAATAATTGGTGTTGAATAATTTTGTGTTTATCCTTTTGGTAAAAAAAGTGTTTTTCTCACTTGCTTAACCAAATATACAATCCAGCTCACTTCAGAATACTGTGAAGGCTAGTTATGAAGTAAAAACCATGTTCTCCTTTCTCTTTCCTGTCCTTACCCACAGGTTCTCAGTCCTACATACAAACAGCGGAACGAGGATTTTCGTAAACTCTTCAAGAAACTTCCCGATACAGAGCGACTTATAGTTGGTAAGTGGGACACATAAGTGTCAAAGGCATGTTGGCATATGATAAACTCTGTGCTGAGCTTGTGTGGGGAAGCTACACCATTCACTCAAGAAGATTAAATATCCAGCAAAACCCCTCACATAAAATCAACCTCTGGAATTGTTGAAATTGACCTCCTTTTTCTCTCCCCTGGATATTTCCTCAGACTACTCTTGTGCTCTGCAAAAGGACATACTACTTCAGGGTCGCCTTTATCTGTCAGAGAATTGGCTCTGTTTCTACAGTAACATCTTCCGCTGGGAAACCACTGTAAGTCATGCACACACTGTGTACACATATCGCACGCGCAGTCAAGCACATATCTGTTTAAACCTAGTTAATGTCACACCTGCAATCTGATAAGAAGTCCTTTTTAATGCACTTGTATGCAGATCAATATAGATACGCTCAGGCTCTTGGTGAGATAAGAAATACACACTGAAACATACACATGGAAAGTCTCTCTCCTTATCTATTCAGATCACTATCCTGCTGAAAGACGTGACTTCTCTGACCAAAGAGAAGACTGCCAAGCTCATCCCAAACGCCATCCAGATCAGCACTGACAATGAGAAGGTCAGACTCGAGCACAACAATATTTCAAAGAACTGAAGTATTTTAATTTTACTCCATTAAACCAACATAATATTTCTGTTATTAACACATTCTCTATCCTTTTACAGTTTTAAGTTAACTGCTGCTTCAAAACGTGTTTTTGATAGGGTTTTCTTTAAATAACCAATTTTTTTGCCAGGGAAGCAGTATGAAATTCCCTGACTCAACTTTGAACTTTACTGACAACGACAAAGAAAACATCCCAACAGAGAAAAAACACCTGTCAAATTTACTGTTAATATTTTCTTTCCTCCTTTTCCTCCCTCCTTCCTGTCCCACTGATGTTCAACCTCTCAGCACTTCTTCACATCTTTCGGAGCAAGGGATCGCAGCTTCATGATGATTTTCCGACTGTGGCAGAACGCACTGTTGGACAAGGTACAACCTCCTCTCCCACCCTCCAGGGGATTTATGCCGGTGCCTGGTGTGACACAGCTAGTAGTTAAGATCTTAGAATAGAATAGACATTTATTTGGACAGAGTAGGTGCAGAAACACAGCAGCTTAGTATTAAAGCACATGGCAACAGACAGCAAGATGAAACATGTGTAGGTGGAACATTACAAGATGTTGACTCATCACTGTCAGGTATTGACTTACTGTTTAACCTGCAAAAGGCTATCAAACAAATTACTAATTTGCTGCCAAGACCAATCATCAAATGCTGTAGTATGATTAGAATCAGTTACATTGTTAACTTCAAACTTACCCAATTTGGATGAAATGTGTAAAATGTAGTCTATTGTGAAGCACAATTCCAAAGTCTGACAATAAGAAAAGACCAACATATTGATTATTTGAATGTCATTGGTTCTAAAAGATGCATCTCATGTGATGCATGACCCTTATGGATTTATTCACTGTATTATGCAGGTATGCACTTTTTAATATGGCTGCTGTTGTCCCCACCACTTTTTGAAAGAATTTCTAAAAAATGTTCTGAAACATTGCTTGCAACAAATAATGTTTAATAACAAATGAATATGCTGTAAGAAAGTTTATTTGCACAACAAGAATTGAATAGGAATTGCAATGCAATGTAAATATAAAAGAAACAAATCTGTGTTGTTCAAAAAAACTAACCAAAAAACAAAACTAGCTACTGATTTACTGCATTATATAAAAAAACAAGCTGCTAATTACTGCATTATATTCCAGTATGTTTTCATATTCTGAATTGTCACCTGCTACCTGAATTTTGTGTTCACCATAAATTGGTGTCTCCAGAATGCAGGAAATTAAGTGTTTAATGCTCAAAATCGTCTGGGGGAGGCCCCCCCAGGGCCCACAATGGTATGTTTCATCAAATATCTTCTTGTCTTGTTCTTGTGACCCCAAGATTGTGCACCATCACATCTTATGGCCTAAGTGTTTCGTAAACTGAGCCCTTAAATGTCCCAATCACTTTTCAACACAAAATGACGCCCTTGAGTGACCGTGTCCTGACTGGTTGGATGTACTTATTTTTATTGACTTAAATGTCACCTAATCTGTTGTTCAACTCATTAACAGAATTAATTGGTATTCGAGGGGCATTGATAATTAATCACAACTGTCACACTATATTTCACAGATGACACATGAACAGAGGCGTCTCAGACTTCTGATTACGCCTCTCTGTATCGTGTAGTCAGGGGTAGAGCTATAATAAAGTATGGCAATACATTAAAGAATTTCCCCTCGGGGATCAATAAAGTATTTCTGATTTCTGAGATCAATGTACAAATCACTCATTTTAGTTTGATACTGATTAACTACTTAACAAGAGTTTTGTGTTTATTTTGCAGTCTCTATCCCCCAAAGAGCTCTGGCACATCGTACACCAGTGCTACGGCACTGAACTGGGCCTCACTAGTGAAGACGACGACTATGTCTCCCCCACCACCGAACATATGAATGGCCTACTGTGAGTGTGTAAAAACATGCCCTGTATACGGTGCAGTGCATGTTATTTGAGAGTTTTATATTGGTGATGTATGTGTGCAGGCATGTTAACACACTTAACAGACTGAAAGAGTAGCTAAGTAGTTTGTGTGAGGGGAAATGTGTAATTGGTTATTTCTTTCTGTGTCATTTGTTTACATTTACAATTTCTAAGTAACATTTTTGATGTAATGCTTGTGTCAGCTAGAACAGGAATATGCTCTTCTATTTATTTCTTTTTTCCCCCCTAAATACTATTGATTGTCAAATAAATAAAACCCACTAAGCATCAATAATCATGGTGATTCTGCCTTTGCTAGTGCTGGGAATTTTGTTTACATTAAAACATTTAATCATCAGTTATGTAAATTACTTCCTTACTTAAATTACAAGTTTATTGTGGTTACTTGCAAAAAAAAGAAACAACAAAAAACATAAATACCCCCAGAACAACTGACATTTAGCCTGAGGGGGTATTTTTCTATTTCTTCAGTCTTTAACCAAATAAGTGGATTCTCACTTATTAGGAGGGTGTGTGTGTGTGTGTGTGTGTGTGTGTGTGTGTGTGTGTGTTTTTGCCTCCAAGTCATTAATTATTAATTTAAGTTTCATGAACCAGTGTTTTTAATGTCAGCTAGCATTAAGTGCCCGGTTAGTTAAAGATTACCCACTGCTGGCCCTAAATTCTCTAACAAACACTTGGCTCTTTCTTTCTTTCTTTCTCTCACAGTGTGACTTTCTCTATATGCATCTCTGTCTCATTCACTTCCTCTCCATCCATTCTTCAGGCCAGGAGACGATTCAGTGTCGGTCACAGATCTACTAGACCTCAGCTCAGTGTCTGTTCCCTCCACGGGCAGCTCTCCCCCTCCGCTGGTGCCCTGCGGTCCAACCAGCTCTCCCTCATCTACCAACCTCGTGGGCTCCTCTCCGCCTTCCTCCGCCTCCTGTCTGCCCATAGAGGTGCCTTCCTCATCTGGACAAAGATTCACAACAGAACCCATTGAACTCGTCTCGCCCAGCTTGCTATTATCCTCCATTTCCACCAATGCCTCTGCCCCGGGCTCAGCTACTGCCTCCTTTGTGAGTGTTCTTCTTGACATCCCCACGTACTTAGGCATACAAAATTGCAATAGCTAGTCTTCAGTGCAGTGTGATGCATAGTCTGGTGAAATTCCAGGTCTTTTTTTAAATTATTGCTTCATTAGCAAGACAATTGTTCAAGAATGAGAGACCTGCACCACCTACAACGCTGCCATCATTATGCATATTGGGAAAAAATACAGGTTATTCCATACAGCTATAGACTGTCCCAAATGCTTAAACAAAGAACCAACTTTCACTTTAATAATCCGTTTCAGCACAGACAGAGAAGATGTATCCGCTGAAAAATTCATCTGCTTCTGCTGGTGGTGTTTCAAGATGTCAGCTTGATATTTGTAGACAGCTGGTTAGCTAGTGTTAGCTACATGGCAGGGATGGACTGAATAAAGTAGAATCTACACACTGCTCCAGCGACTCCCATGGCTTCACATCTGATAACCAAAGATAATACCTCATCATTAAACTCAAACCAAGAGCTCACATCACTTTTATTTCAGTCTCCCTCTTGTAACTAAAAAGACGTTGTTTGGACAATGTTTATTGCACATAATGTATTATCTGAATTTAAATAGTAAAAATTGGTGTGAAGCTTTAGACACGTAGGATCAATGAATAATTATCTCTATCACTCATGATGTGATTGGTTGCACAGATGGAACATAATTCCTGTCATACAGGAGATTATAAGTTAATATTTTTGAGTGAGCAGGATCATCGTGCAGCTGTAGAGTGTAGTTAGAATGTGAGTTATTTTTTAATAGTCAGCACATAGGCTTAACATGTTAGACTATCATGCTTCTTAATCTGTCTTTTAAATCTTCAGCTATATTTTTCATCTTCAGTTGCTGGTCCCTGTGTTTTGTCCCTGTCAGATTTAAAGCTGATCAAATATATTTAAATTAAAATTTAGGCTACAGCTTAATAAACAGTCAGAATCCACCACTTTATCACCCATTAAGGAAATGTAAGTGTGGTAAATGATGAGTTAATGGACAACAGAGGAAAAAAGCTTACTTACTGACACTTTTCCTACACTCAAGCTGTTTGTTCTGTAGATAAATGTGCGCAGTTTTTATTTACTTGTTGCCATGGTGAATCAGACTATCGGCGCTCCATTGATGATGGCTTTTTTTAAATCCCCACGCACAAATTTAACTCATTGAAACATAGTGAGGGCTGATTGAACTGACTCTGACCAGCTGTTCTGGAACTGAAAACAGTGTTTTCCACCTCAGAGTTCATCAACTCACAGTTCAAGGTTTGGCTCAGAGTTTGTTAAACTTGCTTCTGACACAGGGTCCTGGTGGAATCTGTGTTTGTGTAATGTCAGTGTGTTAACAAGTAAATCATTTGTACGCTTGCAACATATACAGCATGTCCAGTACAAGCTGCCATTATTAGTGCTTAGTCATTTCATTTTAACACTCAAATTGATGTACTACTTTAATCTGTCTGCTGGAGTTGTTCTCCTCAATCATCTATTCACTCGCTCTTGAAACACTGCTGACATGATCCTTCTAGAATATCTCTGTCTTGTAAAACCCTGATCCAAATCCTGTCTATACATGTGATTTTTATTTTTATTTTTTATTAACTGGATTCAAATTACTGTAGTGTTTGGAACAGTCACAAAATAAATATAGGGCAACACAGCTTCTGTGCTTCAATAAAGGCAAACATAATGCATTTAATTTACATTTAAAAACGCAATTATTATTAATTAAGACATAATAAAATGCAGTAAAATATAATACAAATAGACAAAACATTCTTGACAGGAAATACAGGCTGTATATAGGTAAGATAAGTTTTAAGAAATTTTTTGATTAGTCCTGTGTCCAATCAGTTCTGCTCAAAAACAGCTGCTGTGCTCGTTTCCCTGGCAGATCAAGCCAAAGCCAAACTGAAGGGAATAAATGGAGTGCTGTGTTGACTGTGTGTCAGTCTCAGATTAATTGCACGGTTGCAGTGGTATGTCTGCTCAGGCCGCATCAACACGAGGTCAGCTCAGCTGAGGCCTCTTTACTCTCAAGTCATATGACAATGGGGTGATTTCCCTACAAACCTCTTGCTAACTCTGGTGCACTTTTTCCCCCCTAACTGCATCAGAGTCTGGAAGAGGGAGGGGACAGCCTGTCCGAGTCAGCCAATCACATGCTGCCCCCGCAAACCACCTCTCTGGGAAACCTCTCCTCATTGGACATCACCAACGATGATGAGCTGCCCACAGACCCCAGCAACTCCTCCGACACGCAAGAAGAGAGTGAGTGTTTTATTTGGGTGAACAGACCACAACAAGAACCCAGTAGAGATGGGGAAAGTGTACTTTTTTATGAATATTAGATTAGAGGACATGAGGACACTTTTTGTTTTGTTTAATGATATACAGTGTGAACTAAAAATCAGTGGAAACACTTCGCTTAGTTGTTCTGAACTTGCAGCCAAAGTACCATAAGGGCAAGGCTTTTAAAAATCAACCACATGTGAATGGGGTTGCAGATTCAGTGTCAGGAATCATTGCAACTTAAAACTTATTTTGATAAACTCTCATGGGATGTCTTTTATGCTTTTATACTATTTTTAAAGGCTGGTCTTCTATTTGTGGTGTCTTCTGAATTTACTGTGCTCATTTAAGGTTGTTCAGCTTTACTGTGAAATAATTTTGTCTTTATGAAAGTGCTAAAGTTTAGTATTTTCCCTTTCTTCACTTCTCTGTGAACAACACATTCCCTTCTGCTTGATTGCTTCCACCTCTTCTTCCTACCACGTCAACAGTAATTGTAGGGAAGCTTTTTCAAACACTAACATGGAGCGATTTACTGCTCTGTGTGTGAATCTGCCCTGAACTAAATCAAAAATGCTCAGTAGGCCATCACCCATTCAGGAATATGCAAAGACACAACCGCATCTGGGTTTCCCCTGAATTAATTTGCATTAAAATCCGTATCACAGCTGGAGGCAGTGTGATTATTAAAATGTAAAATTTACCTATATTACCAACATATATACATAAGTATGTACTCCGACATAAGTTTAACATTACATTTGGAGGCATTTTTACAACAGGAATCTGCACGAGATTCACAACTCGGAACATAACAGGGATCTTAAACCACAGCTAAAATATAGTGTGTACTAAATTAACCAGAAATGGGAACTGAAACACAATCTAAAGAAAAGTGAATCTTTTCTGTCTTTCGTCCTGACCTTCAGGTGAAGTGGAGTCGTTCTGCGCTGACCTGAGCGGGCGGCTACACATCAACACGGCCGTCCGCATGAGTGTAGACAAGCTGCACGACCTGATCTTCTCTGCTGACACACACTTTATCCAGCACCTCTTCTCCCAGCGACACTTTACTGGTGGGTTAAACACAAATATGATGGTCAAAACTGTGTAACTGTTTGTACACAGTTGGTATGTAAGAATACAGGTTTTCTCTAGGGTTACACAATTGCCTTTGATTTTTAATGATGGATTATTAAGGCACTTTTTGTTTTTATTGGCTCATTGAACCCATGTTTGAGTTCTTTCTCATGCTGTGAAACTGTGACTTTGACTTTGACATTGCCCAGAATGCATTTCAGCATTAACTTATTGCATAATATAAAACGAAAGAGAGCAAGTTTTTCCTGTTAAGACAGTGACAGTTATGACCTGGTATTTGTTGTTGCTCTGCTGCTTACTGGACTATTGAGGCTGCTGTCTCATTCATTCTTTGTCTGGCACTTAAAACGGTAGTTTGCCGTTGATGCTGTTGATATTGTGCCATTTTTCTGCCACTAAGCTCAGCAGTAGGTAGCACTGCATCTATTTGTGTTGTTTCCACAGTGTTAATTATACTTAGTTCACACCTGCAAACATGTCATCATCTACATTTTCTTAAACTGTGGTTTCTGGTGATGTTTTGTTGCTCTAAAGCAGCTGTTTGGGTCCAGCTGATAACTTCAAAAGTAGTAGTAGAAGTAGCAGTAGCTTTATTTGTAGAGCACTTTTCAGTATAGGTAACAAAGTGCTTTACAGTCAATGTAACAACAACAATCAAATCAGCAAAAACAAGTCAGGATAAAATGACACCTATAAATAAGAATAGGCCTCACACAGTGGTTTACAACATCACACAGTAAAAGCCTTTTTTGTTATAATGTATGTTAAGAAGTTACATAAAACCAGTAACGGACTGCGAGCTGTACCCCCCAAAACCCAAAGATATGCTGTAGCCCACTGTATTGTGCCACTAATGAGGGTGCCACACTGGCTGTTTACGCTGTGTTAATCACTCTCCATCATTGCTCTATCTTTTCTTTACCACATTTTCAGGCCCTGCTTTGACACTGTACAACTATTATTTTAGTTGATAGACAGACAGATAATCGAGGTCATCTTTGCAGAAATGCACTTTGTATTTTGGAAGTGCCTCTGTAGTGGTTTAAAAGAGGACAGCGGTGGACCTGTGGAGTTGATTTGGTCAGTGCCTACCCCAGTTGGAGGCCCTGCCCGCTTGGGAACATTGTGTAGCTCTAATTGGGGCATTTCTTTCTTCTCTCTCTCTTTTTTTTCTTATGAAGGAGCGTGGATTGACCTCTCTTTTTCCGTCTCTCTCTTTCTTCAACCCCTCTGAATCACATGGTCTCTATCCTTTTCATTTACAAATTATCAACCTCTCCTTGGCTTTCTCTCTCTCATTTTCACAAAATCTCTTGGGACTTTTTGTCTCATGTTCTCTCTTGAGTTGCTCATGTTCTCCGTTTCTTTTCTCTCTCTCTCTCTCACTCTCTCTCTCACTCACTCACAGACCTGTCGGTAGGTGAATGGCAGCAGGACAGCAGCAGTGGGAATACCAGCCGTGTGCTTAGCTACACCATCGCCCTCAACAACCCCCTCGGCCCCAAGACTGCCCCTGTGGTGGAGACGCAGGTCAGTCCATGACAAACGCCTGCCATTTTTTGTTTAGTTATTTAGCCCTTTTGCACACGGGCTTTGCTAATGGCAAATAACCAGATAGAAACACTATGCTTATTTAGCTGGAACTTGAGTGAAACTATTATTTAAGTTGTATGTAATGTGTCTTGGGGATCTTTAAATTTTAGCTTTGTAATGGTTGGAGTTTCAGGCCCAGTTAGGGGTTCCAGTGCAGATGTCAGTTACTGAAAGTGATAATGTATTGTAACAAAAACCACTAATCTTACGCCTCATGAAAACAAATCAAGAATTTATTACATAAATAATTTGGAAATAAATGTTACATCTGCTCAGACCATTGCTGCCATAAAATTGCTATAAGACTAAGACTATATCTTTACAAGTCCTTCAGTTAAAAGATACTAACATTTTGTCAGACATTTTAAATCATTCAGAATTAATCAGTCTTTGTAGCACTTGTGTTAAAGTGCAAAAACTTACTGTTGAAATGTTGTGTTGTACTTTTTCCTTTTTATACTGAATACAAAACATAAATCATCAGAAACCCACAGAGAATGAAGGCCGGGTTATGCTAGAAAAGAAATGGTTTGTATGACATTCTGTCAGACCATGTCAGAAATCAAAACTCCAAATGGCCACACAGGAGGGCGAAGTGAAAAGCCACCTGAAAGGAGGAGACGTGAAATTGTTTATTGTTAGACGTGATCTATAGTCATAGTGTTGCACTCGGTTGTTTACATGAAAAGTGAAAGAAAAATAATGGGGTGGAAAAAAGAGCTTGAGAGAGAAGTTCAAACCCTGCTTACTTTCTCACATCCACACAGCTGCCAAATCATAGCGTGAAGCGACAGTGAATATTAGATTATGGGTTTCAGAAAGCTGGAAATTGTTGGACACAGCCCCCACACAAAGGTAACTAATAAGTTTGCATACTATTACATACTCCCCTTTTCTTCCTGCTTCCAGACATTGCATAAAAGCAGCACCAAGGGCGAGTGCTTTGTGGTGGACTCGGAGGTCATCACTTCAGGCATCCCCTACCAGGACTACTTCTACACTGTCCACAGATACTGCCTCACCTCCATCAACAAACACAAGAGCCGGCTCAGGTAGGTTTGTAGTTGTTTTATTCATTTATATCCATCTAGGTGGGATTTTCTTTAACTTTGGGATCACCCATTGACTGTAAAACAGTTTTTACAATACTTTCATGTTGGATTTGCTGCTCTCCTATGAGAGCTTATCGGATTTCATGACAGATCCTGTTACTGTTTCATGATGATAAATGTACAACTTTGACTCAAAGTTACAATTTATGTTTAGATACAACAGTTAATAACGGTTTCATCCTTGATTTTGATAAAGGATGAAGAAGGGACCTGACACATGACTTCAACTAATGATTTTTAATAAACATCATCTAAGCATAATCAGCTGCATCACATTAAAGCCAGTAAGATAGTGGTGTAAAAAGGGTAATAGGATGAGTGGGGAAATATATGTGGTACTGTTCTGAGGTGCTAAAGGAACCCTAAATATAAACCAAAAAGCATTGAAAGGGCAGCAAACACTGACTTATCGTATTTACCTGAGCAGCTGCTTAGAACAGCAGTGAGTTTTCCACTTGCCTTGTCTCCTGCAAAGGGAAACACGACACAAAAATCCAAACAGAGCAGAGAAAGCACCGCCAAGTTTGATCACCTCTTTACATTTGATCTATAGGATCCTTGTTTACACGTGTGCTCTCGGTTTGCAGCAAAATAGATGATGCAACCTGTCTTGAGTGGGTAAGTCCCTCAGCCTGGGGACCAGAAAGTCTCGCTGGTATGAAATGTCCCATCAGAGCCTTCTCTTGCTGTTTTCGTAGATGTCCCTTGCTGCTTTTGTGATACTTGAAAAAAGCTAGTTTGAACACTGAACAGCTACTGATGATGTTGCTTTTTTTTTTTTTTTCTTCTCCAGACATTATTTGCCAAACATATTGTATTTGATTTGATGACACATCAGCATGTTTCCAGTACAAGTACAAAAAGGTTTAAATATCATTGGCACAAGTCTTGTGTGTCTGTTAGCATCTCAGGATCAAAGAGCAAAGGCATCATTCTCACACAGAGGAAGAAAAAGAAAATACAGACACAGTCGTTTTTCCACTCACAGTAGCCTCAATAGACTGTTATGAAATATGGCCGCAAGATATGGCTCATTTAAATAAGGGCTTTCACTGGCTTCCTGTCTGCTTCTCAATATCCGTAACTGTCTCACTAGTTGCCTTTTTTTTAATTAATAATCTGAATAGAATCCAAAATGGAATAAACTGGCTCTAATCAAACTATTAATTTAGCCAAAATTGATACTTTGTTTATAAAGCTAATAATGGAAAAGGCTGTTAACCTTATAGAATTACTTAAAACAATAAATTTGACCTGGAAAGACAAACCACTATCAGTTCTACTGTTCGTCATTTACAGCATCTCTCTAGCACTTTGTCAGAGTGGTGTGTCTTTCTCCCAAAAAAGCACCTTTGGAACATGGAAACACGATGTCTTAGCCATTAAGTTTACTTAAGCCCTCATGTAAAAACTTGGATTGATCAGTTTCAAAGAAAATTAGGAAAGCAGGAACCACCTCAAGTTCCCGCTCGTTATGAGGCTCAGGTTCAAAGTCATCGGAAATGTATGATATAATTAACTGAGAACTGTTCTGATTAATTTTAGATCAATATTCATAGTTTTCAGTCACGTGACATGCGCGGTGACCTGGACGGCAAAACAACAGACCAACATAGCGGCTCACACCATGACTCCCCGTAGAGACGCCTGAAAAACAGTCAAATTTTATTTGGAACACCTTTCAACTTAAGAAAAAGAAATATATGAAATATATATAAATATATGAATGCAAAGTGTCGGGAACCTTGTGGGAACATTTTGGCAATGCAAAAGTAACAAACTCAAAGTAACAGTGTATCACTTGCTTATTGGTTGGCAGGCAGCGGAAAATAACGTCTTTTTTGCCCTCCAAGGGAGCGTTTTCCCTGGAATGTGATGTGACGTGAAAACTTTTATTAAATTGTCTGTCAATGTATGTTTTAAACAGGATTTGTTTGCCTTTTCTCTTCCCAGAGTTTCCTCAGACATCTGCTACAGGAAGCAGCCGTGGAGCCTGGTGAAAGCATTGATTGAAAAGAACACCTGGAGCGGCATTGAAGAGTATTACAGACACATGGGTGAGTCACGTGGTTGGCCAAGTCCAGTGTATCTCTGTGTGTCTGTGGAAACCAAATTGACCTATTCAGGCAATTTTCTCTTTTGTGCATAACCAAACAAAAGCAAAGTGAAACTGCATGAGCAGGGAATATTTGATATGAAAGCCCAAATGCACAGTTTCATGTTGCAGATCATATAACACAAGAGGGCTACTATTGTCCTATTTGTGTGTTTTAGCCTCAATATATTTGCCAGCATCATGTATCTGTTAATAATGCTTTTGAGAGTGACTCTTAGTTCTTTGTTTTTAGATGAAGGAATGATTTTCACCATCTATACAAAACATTTTTTTTCAATGGCTTGCTTTGTATTTAGCAAAAGAAAATGTAGTTTGCTTATTGTTACCTTGTTTGTGCTTCACTGTGCAGAATCATGTATGTGCGAGTTTGATGTTAGAAGGCTGTGTTGACATTCATCTGTTGAAGGAGGAGGGTTTATCTGTGCTCATCTTCAATCTGAGTTAATACATGTACCTACGACTTTGAAATCAGAACTTGTTAGGAAACCACTTGTGATCCAATATGCAATTTATGCAAGTGTGATGTTGAAATTTGAAACAGTCGGCGCACGTACACTGAGAATGGACTTTTTACTGAAGTAGGAGACATCTTGTGTCCAGGCGTCAAACATTTGAAAAACATTTTTTAATGTGTCCTAACATGTCACTACTTTTCCCACATAATATGCACACATAATTCATCTAAAATGTTTCTTAAATGATGTCTGGTCAAAGGATAAAATACCACGTATTCAGTACCAGTGTTTGGTTGTTACAGGTTTTGATACTTAAGTGCTTCTGGCACAATTTAGTTGGTGTATTCTGATTGGCCCGTCTGTCCCTGTCTCTGTTCCTCCACCTTACCCTCCTGGATTGTACTTTAATTACCCCGTCTCTTTACTTTCCCCCCAAATGCAGAGAATGAGGTGTGCAAGCTGGAGACGCTATTGCAGACTGACGTTTCCGTGGTAACCACAGGTGAAGCGGTGGGGGCCGACGCTGCCAAGACCCCGCCGGCCCTGCGCCGCCGCAAACGTGCTTGCTCTCGGCGGCAGGGCGAGAAGGAGAGAGAGAGGGAGGGAGGAGGCATGGGCACAGGAGACCGAGGGGACAGAGGAGTCGGAGAGGACAGGGACAGGAGAGACACCAGTAAGTCCGCCAGGATGCAGTTGTAGAAATGTTTTGAGTTGCTGCTGGAATTCCAATCCTTGCCACCGACGTGACGGGATCATTGACAGAAAGCCTGAATCCATCTTCTGTGCCATAGAACCCTCTGGTGGTTCTCTTTGGAGCTACATGACAGAAACATCAGCCTTCGGTCACTGAACATTTTACTGGGATCTTTTTGCTGTTTATGAACTGAAACGATAGTATTTTTAGTGGCTGTAAACATTCTAATTTTGATAACCTCTGTTAGAAATTTACACGGTGGGAACCTTGATCACTGAAAAAGTTTAGCCTTTTATTTTTATTCATTTTTTTTTTAGGTGCTCCGTATATCAAGCTGGGAGAGCGCTCACGTGGTGGAGGACCCAACAGTATATCCACTATCCTCCTCATCGTCAGCTTCATGTAAGTTAAAGTGTGCTTGTGCTGCGTGTTTGTGGCATTGTGTCCATGAATAACCGCTGACTTTCTGAATCCCTGTTTTCAGCTTCCCTTCGGGCTATTTTTACTCAAGATCATTTGCGGCATGTTTTATCTTTTACTGCACGCTGATCATATGAATCTTGTGTTATGTTCACTAGTCATCTCACAAACAATGAGTTACTCATTAACGAAGATAAATAGACTTTCTCTAAATAGAGAGTGGTTGTGAGATGTTATGTAAGAAAAGGATTTTCTGAGTGTGCAATTATAAAATGGATTTTAGTGCAGTCTACACAGAGAAGCAGCTGTGTGTCATTGCATGTGGACCTCCTTCTTAGTAATACAGTAAGTCCTTTCCTATTTTGTGTAATATAGATGGATTTTAGTGGTTCTTTCCTGATCAAATCCACGGTTTGATTGTATATCTAATTATATTTGCTTCCTGCTGTCTTGGTTCTATTCTGTCTGAATGCTCCCTCATTCAGACACTTTCTTCTGCATACTAACAGCCTCACAATGCCTTTTTTTGCCATTTCTCTTCTTTTCCCTTCCTTTCTGCAATACTTCTTGAGCATAGGATCTGTATCAGGTTCGTATGAGAGGCTTTGATTTTATACCACTGGCTACATAAAAAAAGAACTATGTAAATGATACAGGAAAAATCCACCCTTTGTATTTTTAACACAAATTCAACTGCCTGAGGGATTTTTAAGTAATTTGTTTTTAACAAAAAGGACTTGACAGAGGTTTGCTAACGACACACACACCAACTCCATGTATGTACGTGTGCCACTATATGCGTTCATGCTGCCATTTTGCTTTTGTATTTCATCCAAAAGCACCTTTTCACACTTGTAGTTCAGTTTCTTTGGTCCGGAACAAGAAACATATTTAATTGTTGCCTCTTTTAGTTCTGATCTGCTTCATGTTCGCACTGAGAAACGAAACAGATTCCATCGACTGACTGAGTCATGCAGCACTTTACTGTGTCTAATAGTTTTCATTTATCATCTTTAGAGTTTACGAAGAAATAACTCATCATGAGCATTATTAATCGAGACTGCAACTCATTTAACAATATTGAGGACAGTTACTGTGTGGTCACTACATGTCATTTTAAATGAGGGTGAGCCAAAGTTCAACATAGGTCTGTTTTAATCCTTTTTACCTTCTGATTGTTCAGGGAAAATCCCCACACTGATGAGCTGATGCACATCTGTATTACCATTGTTATTTACATAAATATAGATCGCTTTATTGACAGTTCATGACCAGATATCTGCTGTCATAAAATCCTGTGGTCCACTTGTAATTGGACCCTCCTTTTCATTCATTTCATTCACCATCTGGTTGTTAGCACCAGAGTTTGATTGACAGTTGTCACAAACTGGGCAAATGAACCAGAGTTTGTATGAACTCAGTCGAACAGCTTTGGTGTGGAAGCACCATCATGCTGTTGTGTAGAGTAAGGGAAAGTGTTTTTGGTCAGCATACTTTTCCTCTACCTGATTTATGTACTACCTGTTCAGTTAAACATCTCCTACATTTCCCAGAGTGACTTTCAACAACCTTTTTAAAGAATAGGACGTGACTAGTTTTCATCTGTGGGCTGAACGTGACGACGCTGAAATGGGCAGCTATAGCAGAGCAAGAAAAGGGTTAGCAGCCTTTCCTCAACACACATGGTTTGTGGCTGCATTGCATTCTGGTCTATGGTAGCTACCCCCAACGGAGAAATTGCTGCATGTCAGTAATGTGTGATTATTGACAACACTAGTCCTTTTTCAGGCATTAAACTGGAAATATTGCATGTCTTCTACTTTTGAGCAGTTATCAATAGGAGCAAAAAATCTGCACAGAAATAGTTAAACAGTAATAGTTGTTTACATCACTGACATTTGTGTCAGGGTGGATTTTTCCTGCAATAAACTTGCATCGTGTTTTGAATAGGTGCTGGGTTGTGTGACAAACACTGAAGGATTTGTGCCTATTGTTTGTTTGTTTTTTGCGATGAGTATTAGCATTTTACTGTTGATGTCCTACTGATGTTCTCTTTTCACACCAGTCAGTAAATTAAGACAATTCTCTCTCTGTTCCTTTCAGTCTGGTGGTGCTGGTGGCTCTCAACATGCTGCTGTTCTACAAGCTGTACGCTCTGGAAAGGGCGGCCCATACACTGGAGACATGGCACTCCTACTCTGTTGCTGACAGGTAAACAAACCACGCTGTTTTTCATACAAATAGAGACTCTATTATGGTGTTAATTGGCGTAAGGTTCTTCTTGTGGGATCTGAGGTGTGAAATATCCCTCACAGTTTTAAGTTACTGCATAGCAACAAATCATCTCTTGCTTTTTGTGAAGTAAATGCAGTGGAAACTGCTTATGGTCATCACATTTATAAGCGGTTGATTATTATAACCACATTTTAAGACAGTTTATGCTACAGACAGACAACTTGTTTGTAACATTTGCTAATTGCCAAGCTAACATTAGCTGTGCTTGTATAAAACATGCAGGATGACAGACTGAGGACAGAGCAGACTAAATGAACCCTTTCTACATGTTTACCTTACAGACAGGTGTACTGATAAAGTATTGTCTTCTTACTCGTGAAGGTTTTATTGCACATAACGAGCGGAGCTGTTGGCAACTCGTAGTTTGGAGCTAATTTAACTTCACCGTCTCCACAGCGACAGAGCGGCGTCTGCGTCTCTCTCTGCAGGGCGCTCTGTGTGTGTGTGTGTGTGTGTGTGTGTGTGTGTGCGCGACAGAGAGCAGCAGAGGCTGCAGCCTGATAAACAGTCCCAGGCCTGTTTTAATACCAAGTTTCGGTGCCAACAATAAATAAACATTAGTTTTCTTATCCATTGTGTTTCAAGATAATTCAGATTTGACGCTCGAGACATAACTACATTATAGGACCCACTAGTCTCGATAGCAGTATTGATAAGCTCAGACCATATTGATTTTCGGGTTTTGAGAAATTTTGGAACCGGGTCTTATCCCCATCCACTAATGTTGCTCCATATGTGCTGGATGTGTAAAGAGATTTTACAGCTTGTTTCTGCTGCCCCTGGTGGTTCACAAAATCCCAAATTGCAGGTTTAAAAAATACGACCATACTACTGGCCATTTTACTGACCCTGCACTTGTCTTCTTATCCTTTTTCCTCCTCCACCCCTTTCTCCTCTCCTCTTTTTTTCCTCTCCTCAGTCCTTTGCCTCAGACAGCTGGAGAGTGGGCTCAGGTCTTGCAGCTTCAGAGGCAGTTTCACCAGGCTCAGCTCAGCAAGTGGCAGCAGATCCTGCAGTCCTCGGTCACACTTCTCGACCAGGTAGGTGTGTGTGTGTGTGTTTACTGTGAAGTTAAATGCTGGTAGTGCACGTCTGCAGGAACCAGTTAGAAAGAAATCTCATGCAATTGCTTGTGGTCATAATGTGATACATTCTCTCTGCATTATATAATCCAGTATATCTGACCTGACCTCTCTGTCTCACCACCCCATCCATGTTAATCTCCCAGATGAAGCAGTCTTTAGAAAAGCTCCACCGGGGCATCGTGGTCCCGGAGGTACAGCAGGACCCAACCGATGACACCCTCACAGAGTCCCTGACTGACGCCTGAGCCCTGCCTCTTCTGGTCAGCACCCCCCACCTGTGACTGTCTCACATCTCTGGTAGAAAAGAGGGGCCTGGTCAACTTGGATCAGGACACAATATGCTACTCCCTCATTTCCAAATCGAAAACCAGGAATGGGACATGTAGGGGTGACTACCTACCTACGGGATTACCTACAACTCTCCTCGCCTGACTGACTTGAAATGGCCACGTTCGCCTTCAGCCTCAACCAGTAATAACTTCAATGAACTCATTCAGACTGGAAGCTATCAGGACCACAGCAATAATTTACCTACAGTTCCTCTATATTTAGTGTATGAAAACAGGCCACTGGTGGGCCGATTCAGACCATCCACTCCACAAGAATCATAGACATTTCAAAATGGCCAACTGTGTTTCAGAATAACTTGACCTCCTTAATTTTCAGAACCCCACCCCCATTATATGACTATCACAGACTTCAGCTCTTCTTCTGACAGGCAACATTTTATAGGTGCAATGGGAAGGGATCAATGATTGTGGAAAGTGGTCGCTCTTCCACTTAGTCCTGGGAACAGTTAGATACCTTTTGCCTCCAGTGAACGCCTGCTGAAACAAAATGGGGGGGGGGGACACCACCTGCTGTGTGGATGAGACAAACACCCAGAAGGAGAGGGGAGAGTGCCGTCCCCAGCAGGGCGCCTCTCTCGCTCTTTCTGATCTGACAGGGATTTGTTCGTCCATGTCAGAGTTGAGCCCCCGTCAATCCTCTACGAAAGGGGATGAGGGACATTACAACCCCAGACACTTTAGTTTTCACCCTTATTTTTAGATATAAATTATACATTGGAAGATAAACACCCTCCCACTCCTCCCAGTCCTGCCTGGGTTTTATCTTTTTTCAAAATTCCTGTCTTGGGTTGGTTGTTAAGACAGCAAGCTGCATCTGACTGTTACAGTATTTATTATTACCAATGACTTTTGATCTGAAGTCCTGTCCTGCTCCTTAAGAAGTCATTGGGTGGGTGTTTTGTGCTCTGAATTGCTGTTGCAGTGCGGACCAAGAGGAGCAACACGAGAAGCATTACTGTCACAGCAATAACGACAATTGTGATTCTAGTACTTTTTGAATGTTTCAAAGTAGTATATAATAATAATGATAATAATAATGTGTTGTGCGTGTGTAGAGGCAGTGAAAAAATCAAGCAAGAAAGACTTGACAGATGCGTGCGTGTGTGTTCATGAGGCGTCCTCAATGTTACATTTTCAGATGTTAAATTTTCATATTAGCGTTTCAAGAGTTTGTTTTTGGAGATTTCTCTTTCACGTTTGGTTGCTCACTCTTTGTATCACAGAGCCAGACTTTAACAGTTTAGGATTTACCGTAGACTTGATCGGGTAGAAACCTAAATATCAGAACAGTCAGCTACTTCGTTGTCCAACTGGGCCGGTGTTTCAAAACAAAAGGACCAACCAGGCTTGTGTGAAGAAAAAGGGAATCGGTTTCCTCAGTATTGTTTTTTTTTGTGTGTTTGTAAGATTAATTTGACTCACTGTTTTTATTCAGTTCTTTTTTTTTTTTCTTTCATTTTCTATCTTTATTATTTTGTCGTCTTTATTTGTTGCTTATTTTGCCAGTCCTCTCCATCCACTGGATTCAGGCCTCTTCTGATGATGTGAAAACATTTCACCCATCTGTTCTCCCTCTTTGTTTTTGTTTTTCTTCTTCTCATCACTCAAACCCACTCTTCCTCTCTTTCCTTTATGTGCTCTTCCCCTTAGCCCCACTCTCTCTCTCTCTGTCTCTCTCTCTCTGTCTGTGTGTGTTTCATTGAAAATGGCGGCTACAGAAGCATGTTGACCATGCTGTGCGTGGCCATCCGTGGATGACAAAAGGGTGTAATATTTATTTAGGGAGGGAGGGGTTGGATGGGGGTGGTGTCTGTGGTAGATTGAGAGAGCGAGAGAGAGAGCTGTATGAGGATGAGAATGTACTGTAAAGATGTGATGTACACCACACCATGGAGAGAAATGAAAAGTTCTAAAAGATGCAACAACTCCTTGCTCATCTTTGAGTCTGTGTGTGTTTTTACTTGAAAATATTTGGGAAAAATGTATTTATTTTCACTACTGATCTAGCTGTCTGTTATTAGGTCCAATAAAGGTCAGTAAATGGTTAACAAAAATGGCCATCACAATATCCCAAAGCACAAGTTGACATTATTTAAATTGGTTGTTTTGTCCAACAGTCTGAAACCCCCAAATATTCACTTTTATATCAGAGAAGACAAAGGAAAGCAACTGTTCGCATTTGAGAAGTTGGAAAAAGTGAGATTCAGCATTTGGATTAAAAAAATACTCAGATTCTTCAGGTAATTCATTGTATCAGGTCTAGTTTCGCTTGAGTCAGTAAAAATCTACTAATAAAGTATAAAAAAGTATTCCGTTAACAATCATATGACAAAGAAAGGCATCTTTCATTTGAGAAATGTTTGGCATTTCTTCTTTCCTAAATGACTAAAACATTAATTGATTATCAGATTACTTGCTAATCAATTTTCTGTCAGCCAGTTCCACTCTATTTTACTTTATAGTAAAAAGCCTTTCTTTAAATTAAATCAAGGACGGATATAACATTACTGAGTTCACACAGTGATAAGAGATCTTCTAAGAGCAATTCTCTGTTCAGGAGAATCCAGTCACGAGGTGAAAGTCCCGACTCAGGGATTTGTGCTCGTGCTGAGTTTGCAATTTTCAGCGGTCTTTCAACAGATTGACATTTCTGTGTAGCCTGAAAGTCACAGTGGCTTATCTTATCTTGAAACCAGAGGACACCAGTTTAAATCCCTGAGTCAACTGAGAGAAATTAAATTAAACCCCCTGAACTCAAGCGGCTCTTGTTTAGCAAAGACCAAACTCTTGGATAAGTTAGTAGAACATGCTTGAAAAATACTGAGGACAAAACGTTGCCACCATCAGTTCATTGCACAGAATGAAAAACAAACTACAACGTTGGGTAATTACAGTAGTAGACATGAAGGTTTGATCAGAGGCACTTAATTGTTTTCATTTTCATGCTGTGTTACATTATGTCCTGCTCATTTTAAACACTGCACACCAGTGGAAAAACAATCAAAAAAGGTAAGACTGTCTAGCGCAATAGAGGAACATTCAAGAAGTTCAAGCAGAAAGTTTTTGTCCTGAGCTGCAACTTCTACATTTTGTTTTTGATCAATTGACTTGGTCTTAATTGCTTAATCTAATCTTCCCCGAGCCAAAGGTGATGGCTTCAAATTAGTAGTTGTTTCCGATTAAAAACAAAAAAACAACTTTTGCTTAAATGACTTCTGATAACTGACTGATTTAATAACCGTTTCACCACTAGTTTTATGATTGATTGGAGTTGAGTAAAATGGTGTAAGGCTTTTCACAAGTGTCTAACAAGTTTGTATCTCAAAAGGCTGTTATACCACCTTTATTTGACCCCTGTGCCCCCACACTATTTAATCCTGGATCAAGCATTATCGTGAGGTGAAACCCATCCATCTGATGGTCTGTACAAGTTAAAATATATTTGTTAATTTTGTTTGCTCAGACCCAGATGAGCAAAAATGTACCTATAGATCACATGTGTCGACACATGCTGGTCTTCAAAAAGTCATGTTTTCCCTTAAAAATTAATGTGTACTTGCTGGTGTTAGTGAATGAAGTATTAAATAGGATTTTGGAGAAGCATAGTTTCATGGTTTACAGATTTGGATGGAAATTAAATGTGTGAGCTGAAAGCCCTGACACCTCACTGCATATCAACCACCTCCATATTCACCTTTTATGTAAGTAAAGAATTCCAACAGACACGTGGCTGATTTTCACATGAATTTAATTTATTTCTGTGAGTCACTTTTTCCTATCTTTTATCTTTGTTCCTTTTTTTTGCCAACCAACACCTGCACATGAAGTGAAAACTGCAGTTTTATTCATTGCTGATGGTAAACACATGGACACAAAGCAGACCAACAATGTGGTGTTCATTTCACTGGTTGGTTCATCTGTGTAAAAGGTGTTTAGATGATGTGAACTGATGCATACCCTAAAAAGTAAATCCCTCAGTAAGCGGTGTATAAAATAGCTTGAATGGCTTTCATATAGGACGTCATTTGTTTTCTTGGCTTTTTTATGCTTGTTTCTCATTGGACATTCTGTTTGTACTGGAAAAAAAAATATCGCAGCCTTTGTATATTGCATCAATAAGCATGCAGTTATTATTCTGTATAAATTGAGCAGGTTGTGTGTGTCCCCTTCTTAGTATCTCAAAATGTATCAAACTCAGTTTTAGTACAAAAAAGTTGAACAGTAAACATGTAGAACGGCAGTGTTTGGCTGCCATCTAGTGTTCAGTCAATAACTGGCCATCTGGAAAGAGAAGCTTATGTTTTTTTGTTTTACAAACACTAAAGATTTGTTACAAGGCTCAGCTTTTTCCTTTTCCATTTTGGTTGCCACTGGCTTCACGCTGGGAGTCACACTGTACAGGTTTCGTGGTACATTTTCCCACGGCAGTTCATAGCAATTTGCCAAGCTGTTAGGTTTCTACAAAGACACTAAGACATCTGTGTGAAATTACACATCGGCAGGAAAGTTTCCATTGTAGACAAATTCAGCTAAAGGTGATACTTTCACATCACTCTGGAAAAATTGGTAAAGCTACATTTTTTTCTTTTCTCACACATTTTGGGTGTGATAGAAATTGGTTTGGTGTGATAGGGGTAGGCATCATCTTTATATATGAAACAGGAAGTCACACTTGGGCCTGAGATGCCATTTTCTGCCGAGTCTACTGAGATATTTTCTGAGCTCTAAAACTTGCAACTTCAAAGAGGAAATCAAAATGAGCAGTGAGCCTGCTGCATTACACAGCCAGTGTAAACAGGGTGGTGGTGTGCTGAGAAGGCCTGTAATGCTTTAATTGAAACAGGAATTCCACTGACATTTAGCTTTAGATTGTTGTAAAAACATCATTGCTTCGTTTGAGAGTTTAAGATAAAACAGGATCTCATCTCAGTTGCTTCTCCAGTCCAAATGAAACATTAAAAACATGACCGGCACTATGTTTTTCTATGAAGTTTAACCTAAAATTGACAGTGGTTAATGACTGCATGTCCCTTTATTTGAGAACTAAGAACTACGTTTTCACAAACACCCCGCAGTGACGAGCTAAACATTTAGCAGAATTCATGTTTAACATTGCTCTTGGTGAGCTCATGTGCGAGTGTGTCATACTGAAGGAAAACAAGAGAGAGACACAGTAAATAGAGAAAATAAAAGGTCTAGATGTGTTGTCAGTCAAGGTATGACCGTTAATATTGGTTTGCCAATTTATTAGACTAATAAATATATCGATTAGTGTCTTTTAAGTTTAGACATTGGCCTGTTTTGTGGCCACTGCTGATATGATAGACCTGCATGTTTTTTTCTTTGGGGTTTTCAGTTATTGTGTACAATTTGGTTTAAATGCTGTTTTCTGATGCAGATTTTAATTAAATTCAAATACTAAATACATATTTTTTGGGCAAAATGAGGACAAAATATCAGCCATTGTAGAAGTGTTTCCTCAATCCCTCGACCAAACGAGTTCACACATTGCTAATTAAGCCTATCAACAGCAGCTCAATCTCTTTGTATTTGCAGTACACCCAAGTTTTTAAATCTGGTGTCTGTGGCGACAGGTAATGATTCTTTTTATGCCAACCAGCAATGACTGGTTTGTCAGAGCTGAACGGGGGAGCAACCCAGAGCCACACAGAGAGCTCCATGATCTGCCATTGCTGTACAAAAAGAACATTTATTATGGAGATTTGTTCATTTTGTTTATTTCTTTTTATAAAGATTGTATAGTTCGTGTTAATATGCTGTGCCATTGGTGTGTGTGTGAGAATGTTAGTCCTCCTTTCTGAATAGCAGTTGGCACCTTGCATGGCAGCCACTGCCATCAGTATAAGAAAGTGTGTGTGTGTGTGTGAATGTGATGTAGTGGTCGGAAGACTAGACAGGTGCTTTTAAGTGTAGTTACCATTTAATAATAGATTATTTTATTGGAACTGTCAATTTTGATGGATTTTATTTTTTTAACTATTTCTGAACACAAGCTCATCTGACAGCATATATCATGAGCACGAGTCAAGTGTGTGTGTGTGTGTGTGTGTGTGTGTGTAATTACTCTCACTGCCAGAAGTATTTTTTGTTCTCAGAATGTTTTGATTAAAAACAGTTATGATTTGTTAAAAGACGGCTTTATAAAACCAGTCAAACACAGTGTAATGGAATATGACAAAACTGATTAATGATTTTAAAAACAAAACTGTGACAGAACATCAGAAGCATGGTGTCGGTTGTTTTGAAAAGCTCAAAAGCATGCAGATAGTGGTTATACAATGTAGTCTCATAATATACTCTACATGTGTTAAAAGATTTTCTGTTCATACTTATTGACCTATATACAGTACTACTCTCTCTTTCCCCCTCTGTCCAGTTGGGCCACCCCCAGATGTCTCCATCCTGTATTTCAGAACGGGATATAGCCCAGTCCTTTCCAACCTTTTGCAGAAAGTCACTTAAAAAACCTTTCTATGAAAAGCTTTCTCCTCTCTGTGGTTCCATTTTTCCATCATGTGGAGAGGATGGTGGGAGGTGAGAGTTAGGTGAAAGTGGATGTGAGAATCCTCAAGGAAGCCTTCCTGATTTCTTGCTCAACCTGAAGTAAAAAACACAAAACTGTCAGGAAAATGAATAATGGATTGTAGAAAACACAAGATCTCAATCAAAATATGGAGAGGAGACGGACAAAAGTGAATAGTGAATAAATTAAGTAATTTGAGGGCACAATTTATCATAATTTTGAGGGTACAAATAATTGAACTGAGGGAGGGAACAAAATAGGTCAATCTCACCAACTGGTAATTGAGGGGGTAAAAAATGTTCCCTGTGACAATTATATAATGGCTGGAAAAAAGTTAAGTGTAAACACACTGGTTGTGTTAAAATAAAATAAAATCCAAGTCTACTCTTTTCCTTAATTTTTCCTTCATTGAATCTGTTGTCCTGCACCTACATATAGGATGGGGTGTGCACACAACTACCTCTCTATCTAAAAGCAATCTGAGAAGAGAAACTCTTAGGGACACTTAAGAAGTTGTAGACATT